GTACGCGTCATTTGAGCGTTTCAAAATTCACTTGATCTGTTTCTACTGTTTTGATGCAGAGAAGGAGGAATGGTGGATTCGGGCTGATTCGGATGGAGAAATGCACGAATGCAGACCACATGCGTCAAATGCAGGCGTACACGTGTACAGCCACGTATTGGCAATGGCCTTTTCATGCATTCCCCTGAAAAAAATTGTGAATTCCATGTGTAGTTTTTTTTCGTTGAGAGGTTTTGCTTGCCCAAATACTAGAAATAGGGCACAGACTTCGTCTTTTTTAGTTTGGTGATCGCCAGTCTGTTGACCAGTCTACGTTTGGAGCTCTTCGTCCAGTGCCACCAGACCACTGGTCATGTCGTCGCGGAAGCATGACGTGCAGGCCAGACGTTCCTCGCGTCGTGCCAGTCCTGGGGCCTACCAGTGTGGAAACCCCTTCCACTACCAGTGGGGGAGAACGTCCACAAGGAAGGACAAAAACGCCAGGAAGTCGCTGTTGGATGTCCTCTCCAGCATCAGCGGACGGAACATCAAGTCTATCTGCAGGTAGGGCATGGGGCGTGAAATTCTAAGGGTCGAATTTGTTGTACTGTAGATGAAAACATACCTGATTTTTCATTACAACTGGCATTTTAAGAACAAAAATGTTGTTACAAAGTACTGGTGGTTTCACAGTTGTAGTAAAATACGGAAAAAAAGATCTAGCCTGGCTGAATTCCGAGGCACATCGCAGGTGTTCTGGGAGTGATGTATGATGAACGGTTTCATAACTAAGTTGTTCGTACACAACTTTCCTCTTTGTTGTGTGCGTCTGACATACCTCTGTTATCTGTACTGTTCTGTTTCTCGAGCTGCGTGTTGAGTATGATCGGCGGTCAGTATGCTCTACATAAGGAAACATTCAATGAACAATGATGCTGCGTTTTCTTGTGCTGTTTGCTCTCTTTGTTTGGAGTGATACTGTAGTGCGAATTGCGTTGGATGCTCTCAGTCAAGGCGTCACTCGTCCTATGCAGCAGAACAGTTCTGAATTTTTCTGCACCATGCCCATGAATGCATGGCGCAATATGGTGGCCTTGAAGGCATTACACGGAAGTTCCTCACAAGGAATATGACAGTTCATAATGACACCGCACAGGAAATTGTGTGCTTGTAATTCTTCAATCTTGATATTGATGCCATGCGGCCAGAACTTCTGGTATATTCATTCATGAGTTATAGCATTATGCTTCTTGTCCGAGTGCTGCTGCTGCTGCGCTCCATCTCTTTCTCTGTCTTGCCACTTCTTGTTTCCTGCATTAGTAGGCGCGACTATTACTGCTGTTGCTGTTGCTGCTGCTGCTGCTGTTGCTGCTGTTGGCGCTGTACGTAGAGTTGTATCACGTGTTGCTGCTCCAGCTGGTGCTATTGCTGTACATGCAATGGTATCAGCTGTTGTTGTTCTTGCTGCTGCTTCTGCTGCTCTTGTTCAGGTGGTTGCCCCTTCTCTTTCAAGGTTCTACCGAGATAACACTGGTCACACAATGTTTGTTCGTCTTCGTCCATTGATTGGCACATGAGGTGGTATGGTCGTGCACATCCACGACATGTCCTGAGAAGGGGAGGATGGCCGCCTTTGCAGGCAATACACACATTTGTTTGGGTTGGCGCTCCTGCCGCAAGTGGTGGTTGCTGCTGCTGCTGCAGCAGTGGCATTTCAATAGCCTCCTTTTGTTGTGGTGGTTGTGTTTGTTGTTGTGGTTGTGTTTGTTGTTGTGGTTGTGTTTGTTGTTGTTGTGGCGGTGGTGGTTGTTGGTGTTGCAGCTGCTGCACTGGTGCCGTGCCAGTGACTGTTGCTGCTGTCGGTTGCTGAAGTGAACCACTCCTTGCAGAACAGGCAGCTGGTGTTGGTGGCTGGTGTTGGTGGCTGTGTTGTCGTGGGTGGTGGTTGTGGTGATGTGTGGATGTGGAGTGCAGGAAGGAAGTCGTGTAGTGGGTGGCTATTGTACAGGTGTTGGACGCCAGATGGTGCGATCACCAACACCAGTACTTTGGCCTGGGTGGCTGTCGACAGCTCCATTGCCTAGAGGCACACCAGAGAACAAATTTTGTACTTTCTATGGTGTATCGACTTTTGTGAATGTTATCCTTTGTTTGGGAGGAGTTGTTCTTTTCGAAGTGAACTGCAGTACATGTACTTCATTACATAAAATACATGTTCTCCACTTTACGTGGTATGCCAGTGTTCAAAAATCAGCTTATAGCTAAATGTATATACGGTAAGGACAGCGACTCTTCGAAGCTTTCTTAGTACTCTTGCTAGTGAACGTCGCAGGGACAATTCCAAGGCAACTGTCAATACGCAAAGATGCGACTGTCAAACGTTTCTAAACCATAAGAGCTAAATATTTTTTAATGAGAGCAAACCTTCTTCATTAGCCCGTTTTTCCTTTTGCTTAGGCAACTCCACGGTCTTGCTCCTTCCGCTATATATCCTGTCACTTGGCGCCTACGATGGCCACTCACGGCTGGTCTGGTGTCCATATCTTCGTCTTGCAATTCTAGTGACCAGACTTGCTCGACTCAGTATCAAAATTGATCATGGAGGAAGCACCACGTCCACATTTTGAAAAATCGAAATCGATGGTCCAAATGCAGCCGAAATGTGTACAAAACGCTTCAACCACGCGTACAAACAAGGCCCTTCCATGGTAACAACAATCGGACGTCACCTGTCCTAACTAGGCGATCTCTCGGACTGGTTACCCTCGCTACCAATGGACGAAATTTCAGGGTCACAGCTTGCGCAACGGCTTTGTCCTGTGCGAATGGCCACTCGACATACTCAGCACAAATTTTCTATTGCATGCATGCACAAAATGTTCAACTTTCGTATTTCTGGCGACTTTACCACCGTCGTGGAGGCTGGTTGGTGAGGAGCAGGTAGCCATCCCTTGTGGAATCAAACACATGGTTCCACAGTGTGGCTGATTCCGCAAGAGCCAGGTCCATACGAGGAACATTCGCTTTGTCTTTTGCCATCGAAGTAAGTCACTTTTCTTGTTCTCAGTGTTTTTTACGTTCAACGTTTCTGAGATTTTTGAATTATTCACTTTTCATTCTTTCATACTTTATTTCTTCATGTTCACTGCCTCACTTGCCTTCTGATCTGGAGAATGTGACGGAGGTGACTGTTGGTTACTGCCTGGTATAACGGTTGTCGTGCTGTTGCTGTATTTCCGTCCTGCTCGTGACGTTGTAGATCACAAACAATTTGAAATCACATGAATTGTACTTACCGTCGTGCGTGCGGTATTAGGAAACACTGTGCAGATTAGATCGTCGCAATGTATCTATATGTGTGTCTGGTCATCCTGTGCCACGCAAGAACTCCAACCAGACGCATTCGTCCTCGGCCCTGCTGATCGATTGTCCACTCGTCTTTCCTTGAAGAACGATCGATCAAAAAAAATCGAGCTCGAGGACTTTTTGCAAAAAACGGCTGAAAAAAGGAAGAAAAAAGGGTGCTCAGAATGAGATTCGAGTACACAACCATGGTCCCAGCAGTTTATGTGGATGTCGCTCATAGATCGCGATTTCGCGCAATGAGTACCGTATGTTTGTCTCGTACCAGGGTTCTAGCCAAAGGGGGTAAGGGGGGGGGGGGGTCAACCCCCTCCTAATCTGATGGTAGCGATGTCAGAGTGCCGTGCCACGTGACCTCCACGCTTGTCGCTGGATCCCCTAGCAACCAGCTGAAATGATGGCACAAAAGGTCAGTACGGCAGAATGCCAGTCGCGGCCAGAGCGTGCAGTACTTGGCACGCGGGATATTCAAATGTGACCTGAAGACGTCAGTGACAAGCTTGGTCGTGACTATTGCCACGAAAATAGAAGATGAACTTTCGTATCCGCGTTTGTGCGGGCGCGCTGCGCCTACGGAGCTGGGAGTATGGCCGCCGACAAGTTAACGTATGTTCAGTCGCCTTTTTCATCTCTTGCGCTGCCTGATACAGGTTTGATTTTAGTTCCATCGTGTTCCCCGTCGTCCAATTTAGTTTGCTGCCAAGTTTCACCGGCGTATCACGCCGCGCACCAGACTTGTAGTATTTTTCGCGACAGGTACTCCATTGCTGGATACACCGCCATCATGAGTGTTCGTCCAGCAAAGGGACCGGCGGTGAAGATGTTTTGTCGAGTCTTGGACTCAAGGAGGAGCAGCTATTGCAGGATAAGCCCCTGCCTAGCATGATCGGAAACGTTTCAAATGCATTGGTGTTAGAACTGATGAAGTTCAAAGCGGACCACCACCAGGATCATAATCGACTTGTCGAACTCTTCTTGTCTTGGAGAATGGTCAAATCACAACTCATACTTCGGCTACTCTTCAACAGTCTTCTTGAATTTCTCCAACAGTTTGCAGCAACAAAAAAAAAACAGTACAGCTACGGTATGTACATTTTGTACAGTGCGCAAGATTATTCATGAGCCGCGATCCCTGTTGTCAAGACCGATTTTGTGCCGTGGTGAGATCTGGTTTGTGTACAGTGCGGCATGGTGCTTTTCGACAATGGCGGCGCTTACCCCGCGCACTCTAAACTGGAATAAGTCCACTATATTTGCTCCGATTTGCTTCAAACTTTGCCAGTATACTCTACTTGTCTTCAGGAATTGGATGGTATTACAATATTTGCCCGATTCTCAAAACAGAAATTTACCCTGACATCGCTACTGATGGTGCACCCCTGTACTCTGATAGCGGACCACCCTACTCATCGTTCGATTATTTGTATTTTTTCACAAGACTTAGTTCACACAGTAAACATGCGGCCACAAATCAATCATTCCAGGTGCTCTGTGCGCCGGTACATTGCATTTGTCGTGACAAGGCAGTAGTGGAACATGGAAAAAATGGATGAACTGTTTGTTGCCCCTTGTTTCCCCATCCCCCTACAATTTATTTCTTGGCTAGAACCCTGCTTATGTTTGCCCAGCGTTCACAATCTCAAGCAGCAGTTGCTCACGTGTTTCCACTTTTCTGTTGCGAATCCACCGTCACCGAGCCCAGGTTCAGGCTGTCGGCGAGTTTCATAGTCAGCTCCGCACCGCTGAAGATCCCGTTCACTCCAGTGAGCGTCAGCACGACAAAGTCGTCAGCTACAGCATCAGTTGTTGGTACACTCGTCTGAAATCGGATTTGTGGACAAAGAGCACACGTAATCAAGAGCCATTGTCAGAATGATCTCTTAAAAGTAGCCGTCTCGCCAAGAGCTACCCTATCTTACTGGCAATGGTGCCATCGTGAGAATAAAAAATTCATAATTTTAACATTCACGCTATGCATTCTATGTGTATTCAGGCCACTTTTGCTGGACTCCAACAATTGGAAATGTGTACGGTGATTAGCTCCTCTCCTTCAGGGCCCTGGGCAGCGTGACTCTACTGCAATAGGACAACGACTGTGAAAATCATGCAGCTATTTCTTTTCTATGAACACAAGTTACAAGCAAGGCCGTTCTAGGCAGATCGAGGAGGAGTGCTCGATGCCCAAATGTGCAGAGCATGTAGTATACACACACGTGTATGCACACATGTTATGTGTCTCTCCAGTAACCGTTTTAGTGCTTAACAGACAGACACACAGACAAAGACAAAGAAACAGCTCCACTATGTACTGCACTGTTCTTACCACCGGGCTAGTTGTCGTCGATCCTGGTGAGAGCATCATCACATGCAAAAAGCAGGAGAAAAAAAACAGAGAATGAGGAACGTTCGGGGGTGAAATGATAACACCAAGTAGTCTTCAAATATTTGTAACACGGAAAAATGTGGGCACAAGTTATGCGATCGAGTCCACCAACTAAACCGGATTTTGAATGGTCGATCGCATAACTTGTTCCCACATTTTTCCATGTTACAAATTTTTCCTTGGCTCACCATCTGAGTTCTTAATCTTCAAATATTCAGTAGTTTTGGGAATTGAAAGAAAAGGAAAAAAATGCAAACAGTCTCGAACTATTTACTTTGAGAACAATGATTTGAAGTGTTCGTTTCAAATTTTCTTTAATAACGAGTACTTCACACGAACTTGCTGTGTGTGCTTTTCCCAACTGTATGAGCTTATGCATACATTCACTGATACAGCAGCTGTAGTAGTCTGTAAACTGATCCTGTTGCAGCCTAAACATGGCCTGTTTCCTGTAGCAAATAGCAGCACTGTTGTACATGTACTCACCGACTGTAGCCGGGACAGCTGTGGTGGATTGCACAGGCACAGTAGTAGTCTGTCGGGTCATCGTCGGTACTGTTGATGCTTGAGAGACAGCGGTCTGCTGTGTCGTCTGCAGTGGCGAGGTTTGCTGCTGTGCTGTCGTTGTTTGCGCCGATGTGGTCTGTTGCTGCTGCATGGTAGTTTGTGTTGACATTGGTGATTGAGCTGTTGAAGCTGGTGCTGATGACGGCATTGGAGCTTGGGTTGTGGCAGCCACTGTTGTTGGAGCCTGAGTGGTACCTGTCATAGTTGTCGGGGCAACAGTGGTCGAGGCAACAGTTGTCGAGGCAACAGTTGTTGAGGCAACAATCGTCGAGGCAATAGTTGTCGGGGCAACAGTTGTCGGAGCATTTGTTGTAGCCATCACAGTTGTTGCGGCAGCCGTTGGGGCAGCCGTTGTAGCTGCCATTGTTGTCGAGGCAGCTGTGGTGGTAGGAGCAGCAGTTGTGCCGACTACTGAAGTCGGGGGTGGTGCGGTCTGAGTGCCTGGAGGAAGTAGCAAAGCAGAGGAAAAGAAGGAGAGGGGGGGGGGTAGTCATGTCTCTAATAGATAACCAGTTCTTCTCAAAACGTCTACATGGTCAATACCGCAGCTGAAGACAACACCAAGAGCAGTATGGCAAGTTCTGACTAGCACACGGGGTACCCCAGCTTGCACAAAACATTCCTATGTGAAAGAAACACCAGTGTCTGCTCTAGGATTTCAAACCAACCGGGTACTGGTGTACCTGGCATGACTATTGCAACCGGGTCACTGCCGGGTACGTTCAAGTGTGGCTACTGTACATCGATCATCTGTCATCAGGGAGTCGCTAAAAATTTATTTTAGGACTCCCTCATTGTACACTGTATGAACGTACTGGGCGCTCTGTCGACGCGCATGCCTGCACTAGCTGCAGCCTGTCACAATCAGTGTGCACCCCTAGGAAGTATAACAAAAAGCACTCGGCATGACCCCAACCGGGTCGCAAGAGACACGGTCCGGTGTTCTTTTCCCAAACGGGTCCAAGTACCCCCCCCCCCCAACCGGGTCGCTGACCCTGCTGACCCGGCTCTGGGGCAGATACTGAACTCTACAGTATTGTTTTCATGCACTTATCGTACCAGTAGACCAGCGCACACTGGCATCAGTGTTCAACTCCGTAAGAAACATGCAGATTTTGACAAACAATGATCACAACTCGTCACAATAATTAAACTGAAGATTGATCAAGCAATAGAAAATGCAAGCCCTTAAAATAATGGACTCAGAAATAATACAAAACACCCAGGATGTGTGCGTGTGCGCGCGAGCGGGTTGGGGGTTGGGGGGGGGGGGGGGGTGTTCTAAAGGAGCAGTGTATCCTTAGTACCCTAAAATCAAATTTTCAGTTGTAGTCTTCGGGGTGCTGAGTTGAATGGTCTTGGTCGGAGGAAGCTGAGATCCTCCCTTCCTCCTTTATTCAAAATTGAACTCGCCACTTCCACCGAAACTGGGGGACTGCACCCTACTAGATGGGGATTTGTATGCAAAGTGTGACTAAAAGTGCCATTTCGTTCTTATAAAAGCACGGATGAACGCGATTGACCCATATGTTGTAGTCTTTTGGACGCTAAGTCGACTGGTTTTGGTCCGAGAAGGCTGCGATGCAGCGTTCGGCCCGTATTCCCAATCGAACACGGTTGAGTAAGCGATCACTCGCTCGTGTGTACACCAGTCACCTGGTCACCGTGCCTGCAGGTTGCAACTGTGCCACCAAGGTTCAACTCAAAGATTCAACTCAAGTGACGGGAACGTTCCCAAACAGGCTGTAAGTTGTAGCTTGCGGGCACGGTGACCAGGTGACTGGTGTACGCATGAGCGCGTGGCTGCTTACTCAACCGTATTCAATTGGGAATAAGGGCGGCATGCTGCATCACAGCCTTCTCGAACCAAACCCCGCAGTCGACTCAGCGTCCAAAAGACTAAAACATATGGGCCAATCGCGTTCATCTGTGCTTTTATAAGAACGAAATGGCGCTTTTAGTGACATTTTGCATACAAATCCCCATCTAGTAAGGCGCAGTCACCCCGTTTCGGTGGAAGTGGTGAGTTCGATTGGGAAAAAGGAGGAAGGGACGCCTCAACTTCCTCGGACCAAGACCATTCGACTCAGCACCCCGAAGACTACAACTGGTGAAAATTTGATTTTAGGGTATACTTACTTCCCCTATGGTATGGGGGGGGGGGGGGTGGCAGCAAAAAGGAGCATGACTTTCAGCACCTGTTGATGATGTCTGCAATTATTTTCAGCCGGAAAATCTCGACTCCCACTTACCACAATCAAGGGTAGTCTTTCCTGTACTGGCAACACGATACGTATGTTTGCGAATTGTGCCGCTTGTCACAGAGCCATACGCAAACAGCAGGTAGTGAGAGCCCTGTAGTGAAATGTCACTTGCGTCACTCGATGTGCACTGCCGGCTCACGTGAATGGTCGTCAGGCCTCCAGATGACCCACCATACACATTAGCGTTCTGACTTTGATCCGCGTCAAGCCCCGGCAGTGAATAACCGGTAGCATATCTGTGCCATAAATCAGTACAAAAAGATGGGAGAACCAAGGTTGAACAGATGAGATCATCTGATACATGCATATGACACATTTAGAGCAAGGTAGGAGTACTATGCCAGTCAAAAGTGAGCATTGAGGAGTGTTCCTTGTCGTAGTGAGGGTGGGTTGACCTCAAGACTGCAATGATGATCAACGAGACACGAGACACTACCTCAAGACAAGACAGCAATCTTGCAACATCGTCACACTGAGTTGAACCCGGTCGCGTGACCGACTTGTTTCAGCAACTCCATAGTCTGTAGGACCGCTTTTCTTTTGTACTGTGTATGTTGAATGTGCAAGAATCACCGCAGTAGACCAATACAATGTGTGGCAATCGATTATGATTTTCAGAGAAACATTGTTCTTTTTGTTGGCAAACAGCCTTCAAGTACAACGTGGTGATTGACATACCTGTCAGACACGATGACCTTTGTTCCATCCCAGTAGCCAATCTGAATGTCTGAATTTGCCTGGATGAAGAGGACGAGACAAAAACCCCAAAGAGAAGACAGTAACTACATCATACGCTTGAGCATCACAGAGTGGGATTGTATTGATTAGTCTTTGAGGACATGGTTGCTGCATGAGTATTAGTGGCTATGGCACACACATTTCTTCGCAGTAATAACACACTTCACCTCATGATTGCCAAGTGCATGCAACCACCAGAGTGCGCTGTGCTATCAAATAAGGACCGGACCAGTATGACCACACTGCATCCTCTCACTTCCTCTTGGAACCACCGCAGTGCTGGACTTTTCAACTACATGTACATAATATCATGCAAGAGCCAGATGTTGTTACTCATTGTTCTTTACCATGAATTGATCATTTGATACACCAAGTCCAAGCCATGTGTTGCTTGCTTGTCCTGTTGTCCATGTTATGTTGACAACACCCAGTCGAGAATCCACCACTCCAACGACTCGGTAGCTGCAGGATGTGCCTGTGCATTGTGCCGGTACTCGGAAATCTGCACATAGGGAACAGTAAAATGAGATCACCATGATATGCCACTGCGTAAATATATGTCTCGCCTGACAGCCACAGCATCAGTGTTTCCGTGTTTGCAACAGAGTTCCCGTGAACAAAAATTATAAAATGGTACCTTTCTTCTCTCCTAAGCATAATTGATTATGACAAGACCATAGCTGAGTAGTTAGAGCATACTTGCCCTGATTATAGTAAGACATATCATTTTCATTGGCCTTAAGAAGTGTGCAACCACACCCTAAGCCAATGACAATGATGCATTAGTTTAAAGCAGGTTTATGAGCTGGGTACATTTTCAATGAACTCCATAATATTATGCTACTATCCTCACCGAATACAGGCCGAGGAGTGGGTGTCGTCACAGGCGGTGAACTGGTCATTGCTTGAGTTGTTGGTGCCTGTGTTGTTGCTGGTTGGGTGGTTGCTGGTTGGGTTGTTGCTGGTTGTGTTGTTGCTGGTTGAGTTGTTGCTGGTTGAGTTGTCGGTGGTTGAGTTGTTGCTGGTTGAGTTGTTGCTGGTTGAGTTGTTGCTGGTTGAGTTGTTGCTGGTTGAGTTGTTGCTGGTTGAGTTGTTGCTGGTTGAGTTGTTGCTGGTTGAGTTGTTGCTGGTTGAGTTGTTGCTGGTTGTGTTGTTGCTGGTTGAGTTGTTGCTGGTTGGGTTGTTGTCGGGGCACCAGTTGTCGGGGCACCAGTTGTCGGGGTACCAGTTGTGGGAGCACCAGTTGTCAGGGCAATAGTTGTCGGGGCAACAGTTGTCGGGGCACCAGTTGTCGGAACATTTGTTGTAGCCATTGTAGTTGTCGGGGCAACCGTTGTAGCTGCCATTGTTGTCGAGGCAGCTGTGGTGGTAGGAGCAGCAGTTGTGCCGACTGCTGAAGTCGGGGGTGGTGCGGTCTGAGTGCCTGGAGAAAGTAGCAAAGCAGAGGAAAAGAAGGAGAGGGGGGGGGGTAGTCATGTCTCTAATACATTACCAACTCACCTCAAAACTTCTACAGGGAATAAATGCAATAGAAAAGGCATGGACTTAAATAATACAAACCCCCAGGATGTGTTCCGTTTTAGGGTATGGTATACGGGGCGGCAGCAAAAGGGCACGACTTTCAGCATGTGTCGAGGATTTCCGCAAATATTCTTTCCTCCTGCAAAATCTCTACACTCACTTACCACAGTCAATCGTAGTCTTTCCTGTACTAGGAAAGCGATACGCATGTTGGTGAATTGTGCCGCTTATCACAGAGCCATATGCGAACAGCAGGTAGTGAGAGCCTTGTAGTGAAATGTCACTTGCGTCACTTGATGTGCACTGCCGGCTCACGTGAATGGTCGTCAGTCCTCCAGATGATCCACCATACACATTGGTGTTCTGACTTTGATCCGCGTCAAGCCCCGGCAGTGAATAACCGGTAGCATATCTGCGCCGCAAATTGGTGCAAAGAGATGGGAGAACCAAGGATGAACAGAGGAGTTCAGCTGATACTGTAACACTTTTAGAGCACTGTATGGCTAGCACGTTAGTCAAAGGTGAGCTATGAGGAGTGCTTCTTGTCGCGATGAGGGTGGATTGCCTCAAGACAGAAATGATGATCAACGAGGCGTGAGAGATTACCTCAAGACAATACAGAGAGATTACCTCAAGACAATACAGAGAGATTACCTCAAGACAATACAGAGAGATTACCTCAAGACAATACAGAGAGATTACCTCAAGACAATACAGAGAGATTACCTCAAGACAATACAGAGAGATTACCTCAAGACAATACAGAGAGATTACCTCAAGACAATACAGAGAGATTACCTCAAGACAATACAGAGAGATTACCTCAAGACAATACAGAGAGATTACCTCAAGACAATACAGAGAGATTACCTCAAGACAATACAGAGAGATTACCTCAAGACAATACAGAGAGATTACCTCAAGACAATACAGAGAGATTACCTCAAGACAAGACAGCAATTTTGCAACATTGTAACAGTAGAAACATGGTGGAGGGACCGATTTGTTTTTCAGCAACGGTATAGTCTGTACGGCCGCTTCTCTCTGGTGCTGTGTATTTTGAATGTGCAAGGATCACTCCAGTTGCGGAGACTACTTGCATCTGAAGACCGCGATAGATCAATGCCATGCATGAAAGTTGGCTCTATTTGTTGGCAAACAGCCCACAATTTAAACGTAGCGATTGACATACCTGTCAGACACAATGACCTTGGTTCCATCCCAGTAGCCAATCTGAATGTCTGAATTTGCCTGGATGAAGAAGACGAGACAAAAAGAAAGGGAAGACTTTCAGAACCCACCATACGTTATTATGTTTAAGCATCACGGAGTAGGATTGTATTGATCAGTCTTTGAGGCACGTGGTTACTCCATGAGTTTGTTGGTGATGGCACACACATTGCTTCGAAGAAATAACACACTTCACCTGAAGATTTCCAAGTGCATGCAATCACCAGAGTGGTAATGTGCTATCTGCTAACAGTTAATGACCTGACCAGTATGACCACACTGCATCCCCTCACTTCCTCTTGGAGCCACCACAGTGCTAGACATCTCAACTACATAATCTTATGCAAGAGCCATATGTTGTTACTCATTCTTCTTTACCATGAATTGATCATTTGATACACCAAGTCCAAGCCATGTGTTGCTTGCTTGTCCTGTTGTCCATGTTATGTTGACTACACCCAGTCGAGAATCCACCACTCCAACGACTCGGTAGCTGCAGGATGTGCCTGTGCATTGTGCTGGAACTCGGAAATCTGCACATAGGGAACAGTAAAATGAGATCACCATGATATGCCACTGCTTAAATATATGTCTCGCCTGACAGCCACAGCATCAGTGTTTCCGTGTTTGCAACAGAGTTCCCGTGAACAAAAATTATAAAATGGTACCTTTCTTCTCTCCTAAGCATAATTGATTATGACAAGACCATAGCTGAGTAGTTAGAGCATACTTGCCCTGATTATAGTAAGACATATCATTTTCATTGGCTTACAGAAGTGTGCAACCACACCCTAATCCAATGACAATGATGCAGCAGTTTAAAGCAGGGTTATGAGCAGGGTACATTTCCAATGAACTCTTCAATGTACGACTATCCTCACCGAATACAGGCCGAGGAGTGGGTGTCGTCACAGGCGGTGAACTGGTCATTGCTTGAGTTGTTTGTGCCTGTGTTGTTGCTGGTTGGGTGGTTGCTGGTTGAGTTGTTGCTGGTTGAGTTGTCGCTGGTTGAGTTGTTGGTGGTTGAGTTGTTGGTGGTTGAGTTGTTGGTGGTTGGGTGGTTGGTGCCTGTGCTGTTGCTGGTTGGGTGGTTGGTGGTTGTGTTGTTGTCTGTAGAGTTGTTGCTGGTTGAGTTGTTGCTGGTTGGGTTGTTGCTGGTTGAGTTGTTGCTGGTTGAGTTGTTGCTGGTTGAGTTGTTGCTGGTTGAGTTGTTGGTGGTTGGGTTGTTGCTGGTTGGGTTGTAGCTGGTTGAGTTGTTGCTGGTCGAGTTGTTGCTGGTTGAGATGTTGCTGGTTGGGTTGTTGTTTCTGGTTGAGTTGTTGCTGGTTGAGTTGTTGCTGGTTGAGTTGTTGCTGGTTGAGTTGTTGCTGGTGGAGTTGTTGCTGGTTGAGTTGTTGCTGGTTGAGTTGTTGCTGGTTGAGTTGTTGGTGGTTGAGTTGTTGCTGGTTGGGTTGTTGCTGGTTGAGTTGTTGCTGGTTGAGTTGTTGCTGGTTGAGTTGTTGCTGGTTGGGTTGTTGCTGGTTGAGTTGTTCCTGGTTGAGTTGTTGCTGGTTGAGTTGTTGCTGGTTGAGTTGTTGGTGGTTGGGTTGTTGCTGGTTGAGTTGTTGGTGGTTGAGTTGTTGGTGGTTGGGTTGTAGCTGGTTGAGTTGTTGCTGGTTGAGATGTTGCTGGTTGAGATGTTGCTGGTTGTGTTGTTGTTGCTGGTTGAGTTGTTGCTGGTTGAGTTGTTGCTGGTTGAGTTGTTGCTGGTTGGGTTGTTGCTGGTTGAGTTGTTGCTGGTTGAGTTGTTGCTGGTTGAGTTGTTGCTGGTTGGGTTGTTGCTGGTTGAGTTGTTCCTGGTTGAGTTGTTGCTGGTTGAGTTGTTGGTGGTTGGGTTGTTGCTGGTTGAGTTGTTGGTGGTTGAGTTGTTGCTGGTTGAGTTGTTGGTGGTTGGGTTGTTGGTGGTTGGGTTGTTGCTGGTTGAGTTGTTGCTGGTTGGGTTGTTGCTGGCTGAGGTGTTGGTGGTTGGGTTGTTGGTGGTTGGGTTGTTGGTGGTTGAGTTGTTGCTGGTTGAGTTGTTGGTGGTTGGGTTGTTGCTGGTTGAGTTGTTGCTGGTTGAGTTGTTGCTGGTTGAGTTGTTGCTGGTTGGGTTGTTGCTGGTTGAGTTGTTGCTGGTTGAGTTGTTGCTGGTTGGGTTGTTGCTGGTTGAGTTGTTGCTGGTTGGGTTGTTGCTGGTTGAGTTGTTGCTGGTTGGGTTGTTGCTGGTTGAGTTGTTGCTTGCTGAGTTGTTGCTGGTTGAGTTGTTGCTTGTTGAGTTGTTGCTGGTTGAGTTGTCGCTGGTTGAGTTGTTGCTGGTTGGGTTGTTGCTGCTTGAGTTGTTGCTGGTTGAGTTGTCGGTGGTTGAGTTGTTGCTGGTTGAGTTGTCGGTGGTTGTGTTGTTGCTTGTAGAATTGTTGCTGGTTGAGTTGTTGCTGTTTGAGTTGTTGCTGGTTGGGTTGTTGCTGATTGTGTTGTTGCTGGTTGAGTTGTTGCTGGTTGGGTGGTTCCTGGTGTTGTTGTTGGTGGTTGAGTTGTGAGTGGTTGAGTTGTAGGCGGTTGTGTTGTTGGTGGTTGTGTTGTTGGTGGTGGTTGTGTTGTGGATGGTTGAGTTGTTGGTGGCTGTGTTGTTGCTGGTTGTGTTGTTGGTGGTTGGGTAGTTTGGGCTTGGGTACTGACGGAAGGTTGTGAAGTTTGAGGAGGGATTGCTGTGGATGGTTGGGCGGGTTGACGGGTTGTTGATGATTGGGTGGGCGGTATAACTGCATGAAAACAACAAACCGTAGATGAATTTAATTTGTATTGGAGTGTCATGTTAAAAAGAGATTTCATGAATGCACACTATAATACACTCTATATGTGTTGACATCATATCCATATACAGGCAATTAGCCATCCCTCCTTGGCTCTTGGCTACTCCGTCCCAGCTAGATCCGTTACCATTGATATTGCCTTCACAGTTTGGGCACTTTCAACTCGGCAATATGGAATTTTCAGAATAGTGATGCACTTACTCGGAGGTGATTTGAAAGGGTTCTTGTGTTGCAAAAGGCATGGCCTGATTTTTGTGTACCGAAGTTCATGTTTAGCCTGCACCCCAACGATTTAAAAAAAGAATTCTAGACTTTTTTCAATTCTCTTTCGTCATGCTACATTATTTCACCAGTGTCATGAGTTCGTTTGGAAAGAGATATGTAGTGCTCCAGCAAAAAAAAATGGGACACTCTTACCAATTCCACAATCGATGGAAACTTTGAAATTGGTAAAGTTTCTCCAGCTGTGTTGTGATGGTATACTGGCCAGAACTGGTCCGTACGCAAACAAGAAATTGTGACTGCCTTGCAGTGAGATGTCAGCAGGGTCAGTGGACACACACGTTCTAGTTAGGAACAGAGTTGTCAGACCACCAGATGATGATCCAGATGTTACCAGGTTTTGACTCTGATCAGCATCCAGTGGTGGTAGTGAGTGACTATAAGCGTATCTGTAAGCACAGGGCATGTCCCAATGAAAACTTGTTTAGAAAAGGAAAGTGAACTAAAAAGAACAAAGCCAAATACGTCACAATATACATTCACTTAATCTGAAAGCCAATATTTAAAACACATCAAACCTTCACAAACTAACACTTAACCCACATGCATGCACGCATACACACAATAAAACTTAAAACAACCAAAACATCAATATGCACATTTATCCAGACACGCTCTCACATACACACGCACGCATGTGCGTGCCAAACGTACAAAACGTGGACACGTGTACACCAAGCAGATAGAATACAAGGAAGTGGGGTTTGCCATAGTTTTTTTTCTTTTCAATTTTGTCTGATAAATCTTTACGAGACTTTGCATCGAGCGACACCGTGGATAACATTGAGCCAAGAATTATGCAATAAACCAGAAGAGATATCTCTTCACAAGTAGGCAAATAAATGCGTAGGTGCCCGGCAACAGCAATCGGGCGAGTCACAGCAATGTACGTATTGCAACTTCAATGATACACATACACGGTTGACCACCCATGCCTCCATTTTCGGCGGGTCACCCACATGGTGGCCCGGCAACTTCAAACGGGAACACACCGATACAACATACACAGTTGACCACCCATGCCTCCATTATCGGCGGGTCAACCACATGGTGGCCCGGCAACTTCAAACGGGAACACACCGATACAATAGACACAGTTGACCACCCATGCCTCCATTTTCGGCGGGTCAACCACATGGTGGCCCGGCAACTTCAAACGGGAACACACCGATACAATAGACACAGTTGACCACCCATGCCTCCATTTTCGGCGGGTCAACCACATGGTGGCCTGGCAACTTCAAACGGGAACACACCGATACAACATACACAGTTGACCACCCGTGCCTCAAACCGGCGGGTCAACCACACAACAACATACAGGTGTCACAACACTGAGACAGTACAGCACAACACTGAGAGGCAAATGCATTTGACCCTCCCAAAAACCAGTGTTTACGACCAAGCATTTCTCACGGCATCGCTCATTAGCATAACTTCCTGCAAGTAACCATGGCAAACCCCTAAGTGATACCCACAGAGCCACACCGGCACAAGGACTGCACAACAAGCGGAAGGCACAACACTGTACAACACTACAAATGTACCTCACTTCTGTTCTCAACACCACATGGGCGTGGGCTGTTCCAGTCTTTGCTGCTAGCCATTGCACAGAGGGTATACCGGCTGCACGCCTGACATAGTGATCGGATGCTGCACTTCGCCAGCAGCCTGCACGGCATATGGCTGCTTCACAGGCACTTGTACTCCGGTGAGCCATGAGTGTGGCCCCGCCAATGCGCACAGAATGGGAGCTCACCCGGTTGCAGTTGAGGATCCTAGTCGAGAAAACTCGGGAGAAGTAGCCGCCGTCGACGAACACAAACACTGGCCGTGAGCTGCCGGCAGTCGCGGTCAGGGACCGGAACTCGGCCATAGCCGAAACTGGGTACATCAGATTATGTGTGCGCAAATACCGAGCTTAAAGGTCTGAGTCGCTCATGAGATCATTGCTGGCAGCAATCAGAGCGGCGAGTTCAGCGGAGGAGTTGGCACCAGGCACTGGTTGGCTGTGGAAGCCAGTTCTCGGAAGCGAGTAATCACAATAGGTTCATGCTGCATCTCAGCGGCCCGTTGCCCCAAAAACGATTGTCCTTGATAGAAACCGCAGAAGCCAACATCAGAGGCATCCGTGAATAGCTCAAGGTCAGGGGACTTTGAAAACTCGACATCGTAGAAGAAGGATTGGCCATTCCAGTTTGCGGCAAAGGAGCGCGACCATTCGATGTCCAAGTGAGCTTTTGTGTTGATATTGACTACTGACTGAAGAGACTGAGAGAGTTGTCCAGCTAAGATACAGGAGTTGACGGATGAAGGTCCTGCCAGGAGGAACCACCTTTGCGGCAAGGACAAGGTTCCGATCAGCGACAGCAGTTCCCGCGTTGTGTAGCTAGTGCGCGTGGACTACTCACTCAAAGCCGCTAGAAAGGCAAATAACTTCTTGTCAGGTAGCCGCATCACCTGGTCCTCACTGTCGACTTGTATGCCAAGTACCGTCACCACTGTTGCTGGGCCGACCACCTTGCTGAGGTTGTCGAAGACCTGCGGAACCGTTGCTTTCAGTTGAACTCATTCCATTGACCATCAAGCACACGAACATAAGCACCTTGTTAAGTGCAGCGTACTGGTTCTTGTGCTGGCGCATGGCCTGCACAGCTATCAGGAATAGTTTTACCCAGAATTACTGGGTTGATGATTTCTCCCTGAGATAGGGTAAACTAATGCCACGTGCACAGCAGATGTGGTGCATAACGAACGCACAGTGGGCATAAAATCTTCATATCCACATCAAAGGCCACAAGCGTTTGACAACCACACCTGATACGTAGATGATCAACGATCGTCCCTGCACTCAACGTCGCTCCAGCAGTAGTAGCATGTTGCAAACCACCATCGTACCTTTGTCCATGTAAATGCCTCTGCTCCTTGTCTACTTCTTTGGCTAGATTTTTTGACAGGTAATCACAGCCATTTCTGAGTTGGCGTCAACGCCACTCGCCATGTCGAGGCCTAAATAACTGGTCCTCTGCTTCGAGTAGTTCTTGCTTGGCCTCATGAACTCCAGGAAATTCACTACTGCGACCATGAGCTACTCTATCTGCCCACGCAACAAATAAATATTTCAACCAAGCGCGATCGATCGCTGTTTGAAGTTGTGAATTTTCAAGCGCTTCCAGCTCACACGAGTCAGCGCTTGTCTACGCAGACTAGCACAACTAATACTCTTGTACAGCTTGGCGGAGAGACAAAGGAGAAAACGGAGAAAACACAACCTTGAGTCACTTTGGCTAACTGGATGACAGAAATTGTTGACAAGGAAGTTGCTTTGCTGACACGAGGCAGGGCAAAGCGGCCACGCAAGATTTATTTTTTCATCCACCATTTTCGGAAAAAATATTTTTTATTCATGTGCCGCGTGACGAACCGTGACAAAACACGTGCATGCGTGGGCTAACTTGGCTTTGCTGCTCAAAGCCGTCATTTTTAATCCCAAGGATGCTGCAGTGAATTCCTGCGAACCTTTTTCTCAAGATAATAACTACAACAACCGTAGACTAAACTTTCATCAAAATGTTCCTAGTGCTTACCTATCAGAGATGACTGCCTTGGAGCCATCCCAGTATGCAATCAGTATGTCAGAATTTGGCTACGTGAGAAGAGAGAAGCAACACATATCAATATTATTATACCTATTTGTCAACAATTCAATTTCAGAATGGCAGTATATTCACCATTGATTCAAGAGGCACTCATTCAGCATCAAACATGTAGGTCCATAATGGTACCTGTAGATATGAAATTAGTAGTCTACAAATGAAGGGAAATTCCCTGATTGACATCTTACCATTTGTTCATCATTTGAGATACCCAGACCTAACCAGGTATCTGTAGGTTGTCCTGTTACCCAAGTGATGTTTACAACTCCCAGTCGTCTGTCTACAACTCCAGTAACTTGGTATAGACAACCCATTCCTGAACAGCCACTGGGGTATTGATAAACTGGCGGACATAGACATCAAAAAAGCCAAAAAACATGTCTTTAGCCAAGTATGTCAAATATCTAACACACTTCCTGAGTATGCCTTTTGTAATAAAACCCTGCAATTGCCACGCAAAGTGGTCATTGGCTACCCCAGCCATGCATTGCTTGGAATAAAATAAAATATTCAAATAAATAAATAAAGCAACCTAGGGGCAATACGTTTGGACCCTCTATTGGATAAGGAATTGACTCAGCAACGCAATCACCCGTGGGCATACCCTGCATCCACACATGTGTGAGTCAGAAAATCACTCTGTACGACATTGCTGGTATTCAAAAATTAATGAATCCGGGGTGCACGATGGATTTTCTGTTCTATAGACATCAAATGATGCGGCCTAGATCTAAATAACCTGATTCCCGAAGCGCGATATAATATGAAGCATGACAGCATTTTGTCCAGTGCTCGGGGCCGCGTAAATGGTGCCATTTGGATTAACTATTATGCTGTGTATGAAAGTGCTAAAGTTGAGGAAGCCTAAACCAGAAACATTACTGGGACACAGGAATTGTAAAAGACACTCACATAGATCTACAGATGAACTTGATGGCAGGGCAGAAGTAACTGCTGGTCTCTGCGTTGTCACAACTGGAACTGTGGCTTGGGATGAGGTGCCTGGCAGACTTGTGGTCGGTACAGTAGCGGGTAGTGATGGTGTTGTTTCACTGCTCGGTGATGGCAACTCTGTACTGCTAACTGTTGGTATAGCTAGGGGCAGTGAAAAAAACAAACATATCAAAGCCTCGTTATTTTCTAAATCGATTTTCAAAAACAACACTGTCACATTCTCTATACAACTCACTATCTCTAGCATTGTGCACGTCAGTGTTCCTATTGCTGAAGAGCTCTGTGTGCTTGTGTTGCCAGAGACACATAGGCCACAAGGTAGTTCTTTCAAGAAGTTGTATTCAATGCACCTAAGCAAGAGTACTTCACCGTGATACCCAAAAAAATGCTCACCTATTCCACAGTCGATGGAAACTTTGAAATTGGTAAAGTTTCTCCAGCTGTGTTGTGATGGTATACTGGCCTGAACTGGTCCATACGCAAACAAGAAATTGTGACTGCCTTGCAGTGAGATGTCAGCAGGGTCAGTGGACACACACGTTCTAGTTAGGAACAGAGTTGTCAGACCACCAGATGATGATCCAGATGTTACCAGGTTTTGACTCTGATCAGCATCCAGTGGTGGCAGTGAGTGACTATAAGCGTATCTGTAAGTTCACGCATGTCCCAATGAAAACTTGTTTAGAAAAGGAAAGTGAACTAAAAAGAACAAAGCCAAATACGTCACAATATACATTAACTTAATCTGAAAGCCAATTTTTAAAACACATCAAACCTTCAGAAACTAACACTTTTAATCCCAAGGATGCTGCAGTGAATTCCTGCGAACCTTTTTCTCAAGACAATAACTACAACAACCGTAGACAAAACTTTCATCAAAATGTTCCTAGTGCTTACCTATCAGAGATGACTGCCTTGGAGCCATCCCAGTATCCAATCAGTATGTCAGAATTTGGCTACGTGAGAAGAGAAAAGCAACACATATCAATATTATTATACCTATTTGTCAACAATTCAATTTCAGAATGGCAGTATATTCACCATTGATTCAAGAGGCACTCATTCAGCATCAAACATGTAGGTCTATAATGGTACCTGTAGATATGAAATTAGTAGTCTACAAATGAAGGGAAATTCTCTGATTGACATCTTACCATTTGTTCATCATTTGAGATACCCAGACCTAACCAGGTATCTGTAGGTTGTCCTGTTACCCAAGTGATGTTTACAACTCCTAGTCGTCTGTCTACAACTCCAGTAACTTGGTATAGACAACCCATTCCTGAACAGCCACTGGGGTATTGATAAACTGGCGGACATAGACATCAAAAAAGGCAAAAAACATGTCTTTAGCCAAGTATGTCAAATATCTAACACACTTCCTGCGTATACCTTTTGTAATAAAACCCTGCAATTGCCACGCAAAGTGGTCATTGGCTACCCCAGCCATGTATTGCTTGGAATAAAATAAAATATTCAAATAAATAAATAAAGCAACCTAGGGGCAATACGTTTGGACCCTCTATTGGATAAGGAATTGACTCAGCAACGCAATCACCCGTGGGCATACTCTGCATCCACACATGTGTGAGTCAGAAAATCACTCTGTACGACATTGCTGGTATTCAAAAATTAATGAATCCGGGTGCACGATGGATTTTCTGTTCTATAGACATCAAATGATGCGGCCTAGATCTAAATAACCTGATTCCCGAAGCGCGATATAATATGAAGCATGACAGCATTTTGTCCAGTGCTCGGGGCCTCGTAAATGGTGCCATTTGGATTAACTATTATGCTGTGTATGAAAGTGCTAAAGTTGAGGAAGCCTAAACCAGAAAAATCACCGGGACACAGGAACTGTAAAAGACACTCACATAGATCTACAGATGAACTTGATGGCAGGGCAGAAGTAACTGCTGGTCTCTGCGTTGTCACAACTGGAACTGTGGCTTGGGATGAGGTGCCTGGCAGACTTGTGGTCGGTACAGTAGCGGGTAGTGATGGTGTTGTTTCACTGCTCGGTGATGGCAACTCTGTACTGCTAACTGTTGGTATAGCTAGGGGCAGTGAAAAAAAACAAAACATATCAAAGCCTCGTTATTTTCTAAATCGATTTTCAAAAACAACACTGTCACATTCTCTATACAACTCACTGTCTCTAGCATTGTGCACGTCAGTGTTCCTATTGCTGAAGAGCTCTGTGTGCTTGTGTTGCCAGAGACACATAGGCCACAAGGTAGTTCTTTCAAGAAGTTGTATTCAATGCACCTAAGCAAGAGTACTTCACCGTGATACCCAAAAATGCTCACCTATTCCACAGTCGATGGAAACTTTGAAATTGGTAAAGTTTCTCCAGCTGTGTTGTGATGGTATACTGGCCTGAACTGGTCCATACGCAAACAAGAAATTGTGACTGCCTTGCAGTGAGATGTCAGCAGGGTCAGTGGACACACACGTTCTAGTTAGGAACAGAGTTGTCAGACCACCAGATGATGATCCAGATGTTACCAGGTTTTGACTCTGATCAGCATCCAGTGGTGGCAGTGAGTGACTATAAGCGTATCTGTAAGTTCACGCATGTCCCATTGAAAACTTGTTTAGAAAAGGAACGTGAACTAAAAAGAACAAAGCCAAATACGTCACAATATACATTCACTTAATCTGAAAGCCAATTTTTAAAACACATCAAACCTTCACAAACTAACACTTTTAATCCCAAGGATGCTGCAGTGAATTCCTGCGAACCTTTTTCTCAAGACAATAACTACAACAACCGTAGACAAAACTTTCATCAAAATGTTCCTAGTGCTTACCTATCAGAGATGACTGCCTTGGAGCCATCCCAGTATGCAATCAGTATGTCAGAATTTGGCTACGTGAGAAGAGAGAAGCAACACATATCAATATTATTATACCTATTTGTCAACAATTCAATTTCAGAATGGCAGTATATTCACCATTGATTCAAGAGGCACTCATTCAGCATCAAACATGTACATGTAGGTCCATAATGGTACCTGTAGATATGAAATTAGTAGTCTACAAATGAAGGGAAATTCCCTGATTGACATCTTACCATTTGTTCATCATTTGAGATACCCAGACCTAACCAGGTATCTGTAGGTTGTCCTGTTACCCAAGTGATGTTTACAACTCCCAGTCGTCTGTCTACAACTCCAGTAACTTGGTATAGACAACCCATTCCTGAACAGCCACTGGGGTATTGATAAACTGGCGGACATAGACATCAAAAAAGCCAAAAAACATGTCTTTAGCCAAGTATGTCAAATATCTAACACACTTCCTGAGTATGCCTTTTGTAATAAAACCCTGCAATTGCCACGCAAAGTGGTCATTGGCTACCCCAGCCATGCATTGCTTGGAATAAAATAAAATATTCAAATAAATAAATAAAGCAACCTAGGGGCAATACGTTTGGACCCTCTATTGGATAAGGAATTGACTCAGCAACGCAATCACCCGTGGGCATACCCTGCATCCACACATGTGTGAGTCAGAAAATCACTCTGTACGACATTGCTGGTATTCAAAAATTAATGAATCCGGGGTGCACGATGGATTTTCTGTTCTATAGACATCAAATGATGCGGCCTAGATCTAAATAACCTGATTCCCGAAGCGCGATATAATATGAAGCATGACAGCATTTTGTCCAGTGCTCGGGGCCGCGTAAATGGTGCCATTTGGATTAACTATTATGCTGTGTATGAAAGTGCTAAAGTTGAGGAAGCCTAAACCAGAAAAATCACTGGGACACAGGAACTGTAAAAGACACTCACATAGATCTACAGATGAACTTGATGGCAGGGCAGAAGTAACTGCTGGTCTCTGCGTTGTCACAACTGGAACTGTGGCTTGGGATGAGGTGCCTGGCAGACTTGTGGTCGGTACAGTAGCGGGTAGTGATGGTGTTGTTTCACTGCTCGGTGATGGCAACTCTGTACTGCTAACTGTTGGTATAGCTAGGGGCAGTGAAAAAAACAAACATATCAAAGCCTCGTTATTTTCTAAATCGATTTTCAAAAACAACACTGTCACATTCTCTATACAACTCACTATCTCTAGCATTGTGCACGTCAGTGTTCCTATTGCTGAAGAGCTCTGTGTGCTTGTGTTGCCAGAGACACATAGGCCACAAGGTAGTTCTTTCAAGAAGTTGTATTCAATGCACCTAAGCAAGAGTACTTCACCGTGATACCCAAAAAAATGCTCACCTATTCCACAGTCGATGGAAACTTTGAAATTGGTAAAGTTTCTCCAGCTGTGTTGTGATGGTATACTGGCCTGAACTGGTCCATACGCAAACAAGAAATTGTGACTGCCTTGCAGTGAGATGTCAGCAGGGTCAGTGGACACACACGTTCTAGTTAGGAACAGAGTTGTCAGACCACCAGATGATGATCCAGATGTTACCAGGTTTTGACTCTGATCAGCATCCAGTGGTGGCAGTGAGTGACTATAAGCGTATCTGTAAGTTCACGCATGTCCCAATGAAAACTTGTTTAGAAAAGGAAAGTGAACTAAAAAGAACAAAGCCAAATACGTCACAATATACATTAACCTTATCTGAAAGCCAATTTTTAAAACACATCAAACCTTCAGAAACTAACACTTTTAATCCCAAGGATGCTGCAGTGAATTCCTGCGAACCTTTTTCTCAAGACAATAACTACAACAACCGTAGACAAAACTTTCATCAAAATGTTCCTAGTTCTTACCTATCAGAGATGACTGCCTTGGAGCCATCCCAGTATCCAATCAGTATGTCAGAATTTGGCTACGTGAGAAGAGAAAAGCAACACATATCAATATTATTATACCTATTTGTCAACAATTCAATTTCAGAATGGCAGTATATTCACCATTGATTCAAGAGGCACTCATTCAGCATCAAACATGTAGGTCCATAATGGTACCTGTAGATATGAAATTAGTAGTCTACAAATGAAGGGAAATTCTCTGATTGACATCTTACCATTTGTTCATCATTTGAGATACCCAGACCTAACCAGGTATCTGTAGGTTGTCCTGTTACCCAAGTGATGTTTACAACTCCTAGTCGTCTGTCTACAACTCCAGTAACTTGGTATAGACAACCCATTCCTGAACAGCCACTGGGGTATTGATAAACTGGCGGACATAGACATCAAAAAAGGCAAAAAACATGTCTTTAGCCAAGTATGTCAAATATCTAACACACTTCCTGCGTATACCTTTTGTAATAAAACCCTGCAATTGCCACGCAAAGTGGTCATTGGCTACCCCAGCCATGTATTGCTTGGAATAAAATAAAATATTCAAATAAATAAATAAAGCAACCTAGGGGCAATACGTTTGGACCCTCTATTGGATAAGGAATTGACTCAGCAACGCAATCACCCGTGGGCATACTCTGCATCCACACATGTGTGAGTCAGAAAATCACTCTGTACGACATTGCTGGTATTCAAAAATTAATGAATCCGGGTGCACGATGGATTTTCTGTTCTATAGACATCAAATGATGCGGCCTAGATCTAAATAACCTGATTCCCGAAGCGCGATATAATATGAAGCATGACAGCATTTTGTCCAGTGCTCGGGGCCTCGTAAATGGTGCCATTTGGATTAACTATTATGCTGTGTATGAAAGTGCTAAAGTTGAGGAAGCCTAAACCAGAAAAATCACCGGGACACAGGAACTGTAAAAGACACTCACATAGATCTACAGATGAACTTGATGGCAGGGCAGAAGTAACTGCTGGTCTCTGCGTTGTCACAACTGGAACTGTGGCTTGGGATGAGGTGCCTGGCAGACTTGTGGTCGGTGCAGTAGCGGGTAGTGATGGTGTTGTTTCACTGCTCGGTGATGGCAACTCTGTACTGCTAACTGTTGGTATAGCTAGGGGCAGTGAAAAAAAACAAAACATATCAAAGCCTCGTTATTTTCTAAATCGATTTTCAAAAACAACACTGTCACATTCTCTATACAACTCACTGTCTCTAGCATTGTGCACGTCAGTGTTCCTATTGCTGAAGAGCTCTGTGTGCTTGTGTTGCCAGAGACACATAGGCCACAAGGTAGTTCTTTCAAGAAGTTGTATTCAATGCACCTAAGCAAGAGTACTTCACCGTGATACCCAAAAATGCTCACCTATTCCACAGTCGATGGAAACTTTGAAATTGGTAAAGTTTCTCCAGCTGTGTTGTGATGGTATACTGGCCTGAACTGGTCCATACGCAAACAAGAAATTGTGACTGCCTTGCAGTGAGATGTCAGCAGGGTCAGTGGACACACACGTTCTAGTTAGGAACAGAGTTGTCAGACCACCAGATGATGATCCAGATGTTACCAGGTTTTGACTCTGATCAGCATCCAGTGGTGGCAGTGAGTGACTATAAGCGTATCTGTAAGTTCACGCATGTCCCATTGAAAACTTGTTTAGAAAAGGAACGTGAACTAAAAAGAACAAAGCCAAATACGTCACAATATACATTCACTTAATCTGAAAGCCAATTTTTAAAACACATCAAACCTTCACAAACTAACACTTTTAATCCCAAGGATGCTGCAGTGAATTCCTGCGAACCTTTTTCTCAAGACAATAACTACAACAACCGTAGACAAAACTTTCATCAAAATGTTCCTAGTGCTTACCTATCAGAGATGACTGCCTTGGAGCCATCCCAGTATGCAATCAGTATGTCAGAATTTGGCTACGTGAGAAGAGAGAAGCAACACATATCAATATTATTATACCTATTTGTCAACAATTCAATTTCAGAATGGCAGTATATTCACCATTGATTCAAGAGGCACTCATTCAGCATCAAACATGTACATGTAGGTCCATAATGGTACCTGTAGATATGAAATTAGTAGTCTACAAATGAAGGGAAATTCCCTGATTGACATCTTACCATTTGTTCATCATTTGAGATACCCAGACCTAACCAGGTATCTGTAGGTTGTCCTGTTACCCAAGTGATGTTTACAACTCCCAGTCGTCTGTCTACAACTCCAGTAACTTGGTATAGACAACCCATTCCTGAACAGCCACTGGGGTATTGATAAACTGGCGGACATAGACATCAAAAAAGCCAAAAAACATGTCTTTAGCCAAGTATGTCAAATATCTAACACACTTCCTGAGTATGCCTTTTGTAATAAAACCCTGCAATTGCCACGCAAAGTGGTCATTGGCTACCCCAGCCATGCATTGCTTGGAATAAAATAAAATATTCAAATAAATAAATAAAGCAACCTAGGGGCAATACGTTTGGACCCTCTATTGGATAAGGAATTGACTCAGCAACGCAATCACCCGTGGGCATACCCTGCATCCACACATGTGTGAGTCAGAAAATCACTCTGTACGACATTGCTGGTATTCAAAAATTAATGAATCCGGGGTGCACGATGGATTTTCTGTTCTATAGACATCAAATGATGCGGCCTAGATCTAAATAACCTGATTCCCGAAGCGCGATATAATATGAAGCATGACAGCATTTTGTCCAGTGCTCGGGGCCGCGTAAATGGTGCCATTTGGATTAACTATTATGCTGTGTATGAAAGTGCTAAAGTTGAGGAAGCCTAAACCAGAAAAATCACTGGGACACAGGAACTGTAAAAGACACTCACATAGATCTACAGATGAACTTGATGGCAGGGCAGAAGTAACTGCTGGTCTCTGCGTTGTCACAACTGGAACTGTGGCTTGGGATGAGGTGCCTGGCAGACTTGTGGTCGGTACAGTAGCGGGTAGTGATGGTGTTGTTTCACTGCTCGGTGATGGCAACTCTGTACTGCTAACTGTTGGTATAGCTAGGGGCAGTGAAAAAAACAAACATATCAAAGCCTCGTTATTTTCTAAATCGATTTTCAAAAACAACACTGTCACATTCTCTATACAACTCACTATCTCTAGCATTGTGCACGTCAGTGTTCCTATTGCTGAAGAGCTCTGTGTGCTTGTGTTGCCAGAGACACATAGGCCACAAGGTAGTTCTTTCAAGAAGTTGTATTCAATGCACCTAAGCAAGAGTACTTCACCGTGATACCCAAAAAAATGCTCACCTATTCCACAGTCGATGGAAACTTTGAAATTGGTAAAGTTTCTCCAGCTGTGTTGTGATGGTATACTGGCCTGAACTGGTCCATACGCAAACAAGAAATTGTGACTGCCTTGCAGTGAGATGTCAGCAGGGTCAGTGGACACACACGTTCTAGTTAGGAACAGAGTTGTCAGACCACCAGATGATGATCCAGATGTTACCAGGTTTTGACTCTGATCAGCATCCAGTGGTGGCAGTGAGTGACTATAAGCGTATCTGTAAGTTCACGCATGTCCCAATGAAAACTTGTTTAGAAAAGGAAAGTGAACTAAAAAGAACAAAGCCAAATACGTCACAATATACATTAACCTTATCTGAAAGCCAATTTTTAAAACACATCAAACCTTCAGAAACTAACACTTTTAATCCCAAGGATGCTGCAGTGAATTCCTGCGAACCTTTTTCTCAAGACAATAACTACAACAACCGTAGACAAAACTTTCATCAAAATGTTCCTAGTTCTTACCTATCAGAGATGACTGCCTTGGAGCCATCCCAGTATCCAATCAGTATGTCAGAATTTGGCTACGTGAGAAGAGAAAAGCAACACATATCAATATTATTATACCTATTTGTCAACAATTCAATTTCAGAATGGCAGTATATTCACCATTGATTCAAGAGGCACTCATTCAGCATCAAACATGTAGGTCCATAATGGTACCTGTAGATATGAAATTAGTAGTCTACAAATGAAGGGAAATTCTCTGATTGACATCTTACCATTTGTTCATCATTTGAGATACCCAGACCTAACCAGGTATCTGTAGGTTGTCCTGTTACCCAAGTGATGTTTACAACTCCTAGTCGTCTGTCTACAACTCCAGTAACTTGGTATAGACAACCCATTCCTGAACAGCCACTGGGGTATTGATAAACTGGCGGACATAGACATCAAAAAAGGCAAAAAACATGTCTTTAGCCAAGTATGTCAAATATCTAACACACTTCCTGCGTATACCTTTTGTAATAAAACCCTGCAATTGCCACGCAAAGTGGTCATTGGCTACCCCAGCCATGTATTGCTTGGAATAAAATAAAATATTCAAATAAATAAATAAAGCAACCTAGGGGCAATACGTTTGGACCCTCTATTGGATAAGGAATTGACTCAGCAACGCAATCACCCGTGGGCATACTCTGCATCCACACATGTGTGAGTCAGAAAATCACTCTGTACGACATTGCTGGTATTCAAAAATTAATGAATCCGGGTGCACGATGGATTTTCTGTTCTATAGACATCAAATGATGCGGCCTAGATCTAAATAACCTGATTCCCGAAGCGCGATATAATATGAAGCATGACAGCATTTTGTCCAGTGCTCGGGGCCTCGTAAATGGTGCCATTTGGATTAACTATTATGCTGTGTATGAAAGTGCTAAAGTTGAGGAAGCCTAAACCAGAAAAATCACCGGGACACAGGAACTGTAAAAGACACTCACATAGATCTACAGATGAACTTGATGGCAGGGCAGAAGTAACTGCTGGTCTCTGCGTTGTCACAACTGGAACTGTGGCTTGGGATGAGGTGCCTGGCAGACTTGTGGTCGGTACAGTAGCGGGTAGTGATGGTGTTGTTTCACTGCTCGGTGATGGCAACTCTGTACTGCTAACTGTTGGTATAGCTAGGGGCAGTGAAAAAAAACAAAACATATCAAAGCCTCGTTATTTTCTAAATCGATTTTCAAAAACAACACTGTCACATTCTCTATACAACTCACTGTCTCTAGCATTGTGCACGTCAGTGTTCCTATTGCTGAAGAGCTCTGTGTGCTTGTGTTGCCAGAGACACATAGGCCACAAGGTAGTTCTTTCAAGAAGTTGTATTCAATGCACCTAAGCAAGAGTACTTCACCGTGATACCCAAAAATGCTCACCTATTCCACAGTCGATGGAAACTTTGAAATTGGTAAAGTTTCTCCAGCTGTGTTGTGATGGTATACTGGCCTGAACTGGTCCATACGCAAACAAGAAATTGTGACTGCCTTGCAGTGAGATGTCAGCAGGGTCAGTGGACACACACGTTCTAGTTAGGAACAGAGTTGTCAGACCACCAGATGATGATCCAGATGTTACCAGGTTTTGACTCTGATCAGCATCCAGTGGTGGCAGTGAGTGACTATAAGCGTATCTGTAAGTTCACGCATGTCCCATTGAAAACTTGTTTAGAAAAGGAACGTGAACTAAAAAGAACAAAGCCAAATACGTCACAATATACATTCACTTAATCTGAAAGCCAATTTTTAAAACACATCAAACCTTCAGAAACTAACACTTTTAATCCCAAGGATGCTGCAGTGAATTCCTGCGAACCTTTTTCTCAAGACAATAACTACAACAACCGTAGACAAAACTTTCATCAAAATGTTCCTAGTGCTTACCTATCAGAGATGACTGCCTTGGAGCCATCCCAGTATGCAATCAGTATGTCAGAATTTGGCTACGTGACAAGAGAGAAGCAACACATATCAATATTATTATACCTATTTGTCAACAATTCAATTTCAGAATGGCAGTATATTCACCATTGATTCAAGAGGCACTCATTCAGCATCAAACATGTAGGTTCATATTGGTACCTGTAGATATGAAATTAGTAGTCTACAAATGAAGGGAAATTCCCTGATTGACATCTTACCATTTGTTCATCATTTGAGATACCCAGACCTAACCAGGTATCTGTACTTTGTCCTGTTACCCAAGTGATGTTTACAACTCCCAGTCGTCTGTCTACAACTCCAGTAACTTGGTATAGACAGCCCATTCCTGAACAGCCACTGGGGTATTGATAAACTGGTGGACACAGACATCAAAAAAGCAAAAAAACATGTCTTTAACAAAATGTCAAATATCTGGCATACTACCTCAGGAGGCCTTTTGTAAAGCAACCTTGGGGCAATACGTTTGGAGCCTCTCTTGGATAAGTAATTGACTCAGCATCCCGATCATCCGTGGGCATACCCTGCATCCATACAGGTGTGCGTGAGAAAATCACTCGGTATGACATTGCTGGTATTCAAATGGTACCGGGGTGCAGGATGGATTTTCTGTTCCATAGACATCAAAATGATGCGGCCTAGATCGAGATGACCTGATTCCCCAAGGGCAACATAATATGAAGTCTGACGGCATTTTGTACAGTGTCCGGGGCCGGGTAAATGATGTCATTTGGATTAACTATTATGCCGTGTGTGAAAGTACTAAAGTTGAAGAAGACTGAACCAGACTAATCAATAGGCATTGGGACTGTAAAAGATGCTTACATAGATCTACAGATGAACTTGATGGCAGAGCAGAAGTAACTGCTGGTGCCTGCGTTGTCACAACTGGAACTGTGGCTTGGGATGAGGTGCCTGGCAGACTTGTGGTCGGTACAGTAGCGGGTAGTGACGGTGTTGTTTCACTGCTCGGTGATGGCAGCTCCGTACTGCTGACTGTTGGTACAGCTAGGGGCAGTGAAAACAAATACATATCAAGGCCTCGTTTTTTCCCAAATCGATTTTCTGGCTGTTTCTTCCCCTGACTGTTAACCTTGAATTTGAAGTGTATCCTATACCAGTCCCAATTCAGAGCATTGCTGTGTATAAAAATAGTGATTTGTGCCGTGAAATGTATTTGCAGAGATTCAAGAGTGCCTCAGTGCTAAGACCTTAACGTTCGGATGGCGAGGCAGTTTAATTATGGAGCTAGGTCTCAGGTCGTTGAATATCTCATTACTCCTTGTCAGTTTTGCGTCATTTTGTCGCACTCGCTGACTGTATACGATTTGGTTACTTCAGTGGACAGTTAGTCATAACCTGTAACATGTTTGTCCATCACCCTTTTTTCTCCTTCACTCTTCATACGCATTTTTAGATGGAAGTTCAGTCATGCTTTTGTATACTTCAGTTGTTTGATGTATGAAAGCCTCTTGCACAGCGGCTGATGTACAATATCTGTTCTTCCCCAGGTTCACCAAGATTCTTGCTCTCTCATGTATTTGCTTATCGACCTGCGGCAATTTTAGTGAACCAGAGAAAGTACATTGTACAGTGGTTACACTGAGAATAACAAGGGTCAAGGATAGGATACTGCTACTCTGAACACTCTCAACACACAGGCTGCATCCTCCATATTACTAGTACACTGGTTGCAAAGGAGCTTCAGCAGTCAGACATAACAACACTGTCACATTCCCTACACAGCTCGCCGTCCCTAGCACTGTACACGTCAGTGCTCTTATTGATACACAGCTCTGTGTGCTCGTGTTGCCAGAGACACACGGGCCACAAGCTAGCCCTTTCAAGAAGTTGTATTCAATGCATCACAGCAAGAGTACTTTATCCTCATACCCAAATGCTCACCTATTCCACAATCGATGGAAACTTTGAAATTGGTAAAGTTTCTCCAGCTGTGTTGTGATGGTATACTGGCCAGAACTGGTCCGTACGCAAACAAGAAATTGTGACTGCCTTGCAGTGAGATGTCAGCAGGGTCAGTGGACACACACGTTCTAGTTAGGAACAGAGTTGTCAGACCACCAGATGATGATCCTGATGTTACCAGGTTTTGACTCTGATCAGCATCCAGTGGTGGTAGTGAGTGACTGTAAGCGTACCTGTAAACATAGGCATGTCCCAATGAAAACTGATTTAGAAAAGGAAATTGAACTGAAAGAACATGAACTAAGCTATGTACTTCACACTGTCCCTAGGACTTATGAATACTTCACAATGCACATTCACTTTCCCTTAATCCTCATCTCCGGATGAATGCAAGACATCCCACTAGCATGCATGTACCCAAATCAAAAAATTTAATATGCCGTTGACACAACTTCTCTGTGCCTCCCATCAGAATGCAATCAGTTCTTACCTATCAGAGATGACTGCCTTGGAGCCATCCCAGTATGCAATCAGTATGTCAGAATCCGGCTACACAAAAAGAGGAACACATAATAATTCAACAGACCCATTAATGGACTTGGATGGAAAGCCAAGGATAAACTTAAAGTAAAGAAAAAGGAACAAGAAACTATAAGTTATGCTAAAATGTCCACTAACACCACCAGTTACTAAACGATCAGCTCATGCGATACAGACCTATCAGTGGACTCGGATGGTGAGCCAAGGATAAATTATAGTAAAGAAAAAGGACCAAGAAACTACAAGTCACCCTATAATGTCCACTAACACCACCGGTTACTAAACGATCAGCTCAGGCGCTAACATTGCACGACACTGCACTGACTGACGGTACTGATGTGTTCTGCAATGTTAGCGCCTGAGCTGATCGTTTAGTAACTGGTGGTGTTAGTGGACATTATAGCGTAACTTGTAGTTTTTTGGTCCTTTTTCTTTACTATAGACCCATTAGTCATGGATATTTCAGCATCGAGGGACATGCAACTTTGACCAAAGAGGCACATCTTTAGCGTGATACATTGTAGGTCCAAGTGATACTCTGTATTTCCAATATGTTATACATGAAGGGAAATCCCCTTGTTGACATCTTACCATTTGTTCATCATTTGAGATACCCAGACCTAACCAGGTATCTCTACTTTGTCCTGTTACCCAAGTGATGTTTACAACTCCCAGTCGTCTGTCTACAACTCCAGTTACTTGGTATAGACAACCCATTCCTGAACAGCCACTGGGGTATTGATAAACTGGTGAACACAGACAGACAAAGTAGCAAGTACAACACACAAAACAAGCCCTCATTTGGTGGGTTGCAACAAAAGATGATAAACTCATGAGACCATCCAAGATCATGGACAACAATGGTCAAACCATACTTGTTGCAACTCAATGTATAACCAGAATTCATCGGTCGATCACGGCTGCAGGATCCAACGAACATGGCACCAGTACACCAAAGGCATTTTCACCTTAGCTGCGCCAAAATATTAAACAATGATGAATATCTGCCAAATGGGATTTCTGTACTCATACTCACATAGGTCCACAGATGATGTTGATGGCAGGGCTGGGGTCATCGTCATGGATAACGAAGCACTTTGTGTTGTGGGTACAGTCTCTGGTTGTGTTGATGTTGTTTGTGGAAGCGCTGTTGTTGTAGGCGCTGCTGCTGTACTAGTCTGTGATGGTGATGCCATACTGGTATCTGTTGGTGCAGCTATGGTAGTAAGATAAAGCCCACAAAAAGATGATAAAACTTGTAAAGTACGAACATTCAAACATTCAATACGTTACTAGTTATGGCTAACAGTCCGCCAATGTAACGCAATCTGATACATTCAGATAGTGCAACAACAGGGCACAAAGCTGAAAAAGAGAATTATTGAGACATTCGACGACCTGACGCCTACCTGACCTGACCCTTATTGGTCTTCTCTTTTCTTATAATATTGCCTCAACATCCGAGGTTTTAATTCTAACATTCCTGATTACATTTCTCATTAGTTTTCACCAGCTCAGATTCTGCGCAACAAGTGTTCAGAATCTGGGTCCACCTACTGTTATGACCGTATGGTGGCATATGTTACTTAAATTTACAGTGGTGGCCAATACAAATCCGACCCCATTAATCAAAACTGCAATGCTGGTGCTGGCCACACAGCCCTAGGATGAGCTGGCTGCACAGCCCTATCATGAGCTGGCCGCACAGCCCTATCATGAGCTGGCCGCACAGCCCTATCATGAGCTGGCCGCACAGCCCTATCATGAGCTGGCCGCACAGCTCTATCATGAGCTGGCCGCACAGCCCTATCATGAGCCGGCCGCACAGCCCTATCATGAGCTGGCCGCACAGCCCTATCATGAGCTGGCCACGCAGCCCTAGCAATGCAAACCCTACACGGTGTACTGTGAGACCAGATATTTTAACGTTGATTAACCCTTTAAGAGCCGCCCCATACTTGAAAGCGTCGTAAACGACGCATTCAAATACAAAACTTCAAAAGATCGTAACTTAGTCCAATCTCGCTCAAATCCAGTGATCGAAATATACAGGGCAAAGAGAAAACTCTCACCTGTCGGGAGAGACAATCCGCGAAGCGCTTGGAGCAACGGTTCCTGAGATTAATCACTCGTAAGTTGAGCCGCGATCGCGGCAATTTCAAAAGCGGGAAGTGCGACTTTAGTGTTGAGAATTTTGAGACTTTTCGTCACGCTGGTTTACTCGAATTTGCAGGGGTTTCACTGTTGATATTGTCAAGAGTACACAGCGAAAAAATTGCAACTCCACGATCGAGTAAAATGAAAATTCTGGAGCGGGACGCAATTGGACGCATTTGGGGCATTTTTCGTACTGTCGCTGCGATCTAGCGCTGGATAGACGGTGTGCTGGCTATCATGATCGACCTCATTCTCTTCCTCTCGCGGAGACCTTTCCAGGAAGCCCTAGATTGTGAGGATTGAGTGAGTAGAACTGAAGCTATGAACCAAGGAACACGAAAATATGCAGAATTATGAAATTTTCCTGTGGCTCTCAAAGGGTTAAAGTGAAAGATCTCCTGATTTTCGTGGGTTAGCGAGGTGAAATTCTAACGAATTCCGTCTCAAAACCGGCAAATGACGGTACACGTATGTATCATTTTGTACATAACGACTTCAAATTCGTTAAATCGTTAAAATTAAATGCTCGTTAGCATTACTGGTGGCACTGTACATAGAAGTCGCCTACCCTGCACATGACTCTATCCATTGGATAGGGTGTTCACTGATGGCAGTCTAACACATATCACAAGCATTTTCAGCACCAGTAGCACTGCCCACAGCAGTAATAATGGCAGAGGAAGATAATGCAACAACCTTCGGCGTACAATGGAACTAGAATCAGCACCAGGTGTAGCAGAATTGCCACAAGAACTTCCTAGCTGGTAAGTTACCTACACGTAATTGTTTTATTTGTACTCACAGCAGTCAACGGTGAACGTGCTTGCGATCGGCGTTGTGGTATGTTTCTGCAGTCTACCATTGCTTACACTCCCGTAGGCGAAGAGCAGGTAATGCGTGCCCTGCAAGGAAATATCCTGCGAGTTCACGGTGGAGCAGTCGCGCACAACATTGATGGTCGTGACGCCTCCCGACTGGGATCCGCCGAACGCCACGTTCTGACTTTGATCGGCATCAATAGGCGGCACTCCATACATTGTGGCATACCTGAACGCAGGTTGGCAAAGCAAATTCAGTTAGATCGCTCATCTTGAAGTTGGGTGCTAAATTTGAAGGTAATACGACTAATTTGTTGAATACAGACTTCCAAAGGAAACGTGCAAAACCCGTATGTTCCATTACCCTTGCTTCACGTTGCAGCGCGCTCTTGGAATGACCTTGATTTCCACCCACAGTACCCAATGTTAAATCTCTATTGGTGAGTATAACTCTTCAAGTATCTCTTTCCTAGCAGGAGGGGTCTCTTTACTCAGACTAGTACTACTGCAGTGAAACCTGTCTAAGACGACCGCTCAAGGGACCTTCGAAACGTGGTCTCTGTTACCAGGTGGTCTCCTTATCCAGGGTCGTTTGACTGGAAATGGTATCCCCTGATTCTGGTTTCAGTGGTCTTGTAGAACAGGTGGTCGCCATATCCGAGTGGTCGCCTTGACAGGTTTCATTGTATACACTTTTCTTTTAGCCGCAAGCCAAGTACATTTGGCTAGCTAAGTGTACATGCACCTGCTCCATCAATTTAAGATTATGATCGAGCTATTCTGCAGTAAGTCCTGCTTCAACATGGTCTTCATGGAATATTCCAAGTGAGTAGAAAAGTAGCCAAAATGAGACCAGCGATAATATAGTGTCCCGTATTGGCGCAAAGGTCGCAGTCCCAAGGTTGCAAAGGAGGATTCACAGACTGAACTCGAACCCAGCTCCTTGACTGTCTTTCCGGGACAGTGCCCTACCCGTGCAGCTGCCGGGGAGCATATCCGCCCGTGGCACTCTCTGACCACACTGGCTCCCGCTTTCTGATAGGATATGTCATCGGGCATTGCCCAATCGTCGATCATGCGCTTGAGCCATTCCCAGACACCAACGTTGCAACAGAAGCCTGCAGGTGGGATTCTGACCTAACACGCCTATCTTTCCGTGACAGTACCCCACCACGTAGGTTGCCGAGAACCGAACACACCAGTGCTCCTCTTTTGCTACACAAGCATGAACACGTCAGTCAAATTGCTCCACTTTTTTTCCTCTTTTTTAGACACATCTGCACTTCCCACTCGTCATTTGAGTCAAACGGAACACAGTAAAGCTCTGATTAGACGTAGCAGCACGGGCTTCAGGAGAGTGCACTCAACAATTATCATAGCATACACATATACTTGGTCCGGCTCATCGAAAATGTCGCTTATCTGTCGCCACTGACAACAGGAGTTTTTTTACCGCTCTGTGAACTTTCCAACAGGCATATTGAGGAAGCATGATACATGAATACTCTCCGCCACAAGAAAAAAATTTCAGCAATGGAATCAGGTGAAGCGAGTCGAAGAAAGGAAGCAAGGTAAGCAAAATGCACGAAATAAATCAGCGAAGAAGCGCGTTCTTCCACTCACACTAGTAATACAGGTCCAGAGTTCATTCAACTCTGCATCTCTCAAATCGAGCCGCGCCGTTACATGAGCTGACATTTGCTGGTGTCTAGCTGCTAGCTGGCGTAGACTGGTAGAGTACCTCTTGCGTTCTCAGCCTATCGACATCGTATGGCAGCAATGGGAAAGAAACAGTTGTGGCTGTCACTTCGGTGTTTGAAGGAACCGTGGGCAGTGTGACCTGTGTGTCACCACAGTGTGTTTCAACAAAGCCTTCGAATGAGGCATACAGGCCTCTCGAGACAGCTGTCATACGCTCCGCTGGATACGCTGGCCACGACTCTTGTAATGCGGCTGCTAGGTCCACCAAGAGAAGGAACAACCAACACGTCGGCCGGGCGCATCGCATCAAAAAAACCTTTCTTCTTCAGCATGACGCTCATACTCCTCTTCCGTGCACGCGTGCCTGTCACGCTCTCCAGGCCAGGATGTCAGTTGCCCCTGCTACAGTTCCGGTCTTCGGGTCGCTGCGCTTGGCTTTTGGCAACACAGACAGTGAATGGCCAGATTCCCACTTCCCAAAAAAGTCGAATACATCGCGATTCAAAGCGCTAGTCGCGATCATTTTTCTTTGTTGCCTCCTTTGATCTTGCCATCACGATCTCCCAAGCAAAAGTAAGTTAGATATCGTGATTGGACTGGGTTTTACCTGTCAAAAAGTGCTTGGGGGATAAGCGACAATTGCGATGAGCCGGACCAAGTACATGCTTCATTATGGATCAATTCACCCGCGCTCTGGACAGCGTCCATACTAGGCAAGAGTATGTCTTATGATATTAGAACACGTTCTAAGCGAGTTCCACTGTACTACAGTCATAGCCGCTGCACACTACACTGCACACAACATAGCACACCCATATTGCATGGCGTAACTAACCGGTCAGTCACTACTGCCTTCGCACCATCCCAATATACTAAGACAATGTCCGAGTTCGCCTGTAGTCCAGCAAACAAAGAACATTGAACAAATCGTCATCTTTCGCGAACACACCTCACAATGGTGCATACTAGCAAACAGAGGCAACGGATCAACGTAAACATTGAGTTATCCCGGAGAGGAAGGGACGGTATGCATCCGACACCTTCCCCTCCCCCCCCCCCCCCCCACACACACACATCAGCTATCCGACATCTCCCCCCCCCCCCCCGCACACACACATCAATTAAAGTTAGGATTGGATACTCAGGTACACTTTGCAAAATGGGAAGGGGCTGTATGGCCCGACATGTTCCCACCCACTTAGCACGCAGTCCTGGATGCATGACCGTACAATCAGTGTCTGCTCCAGCGCCGGGTGAGCCGGGTAATCCACCCGGTTGGGCGGCGCTTGGACCCGGTTGAAAATATAGTACCGGGTCACCTGTGACCCGGTTGGTACTTTACACTTTCGAACTTTGAAAGGACTGACTACATGGCTTGTATTTGTCAGATACTTCTTCTTCTTTCGTAATTTTCTAATTCCTGTCCTCTCTTTTCTAAATGCGGCTTATCCATTCGGCTTTAGATAATTGGGCGTACATGTGTACCGGGCTCCCACCCGGTTAAAATGGTTGCGCCAGGTACACGTGTACCCGGCTGTCCTACAATCCTGGAGCAGACACTGACAATGTATCATAATGATCTATCACCTGGGATGACTGGTCTCCAAAGTCAGGTGGACTCTAAAGTCAGGTGGCCTCTTCAGACAAGTGGCCTCTTCAGACAGGTGGTCTCTTATTGCAGTGGTAACATAACACAGAACTAACTTCATAATATTATGTATATAATACAGCCCAACAGTACGCTGGTACGTGAGATATAAACCGACATACAAACCGAGGCGAAGCCGAGGTTTGTGTGATGGTTTATATTTCACGTACAAGCGTACTGTTTGGCTGTATTATATACATACACGGAGCTGGAACAGAGCGAAACAGTCGCTGTCCACAGATCTGAGTATTATGCTCCCTAGCGTCAGCAATGTCGTTAGGTTGAGCACTCTTACCTTGGCGCGAATCCTTGCCGCTCGCCTTGTGCAACGCTCACTGCTCTTGGAGCATTTCGAGCTTTCCTGGCGAGGTTTGCAGCTCTTTGTAAAAATGCTTTGCTTCACGGAAACGTATTTCATTGCGAAGAGTTGCGCTTCGGTCCTCTGAGCTGTGCTGAGGAGCTCTAACAGAGCGAAACAGTTGCTGACCACAGATTTGAGTCTAATTATATATATATTAACTGGTTTGAGGGAAAGAGACAAACGGGAAAAGTCTGAAGAAAAAATTGACTGTCACCACCAGGACTCGAACCAGGGACCCTCGCTTGTAGCCAGCGATGCTCTAACCACTGAGCTATGGTGTAGTCGTCATCCCAGCAGAGACAATTTCTTCAGACTTCGTAACTCGCACTTCCTGTGAATCCACACAGGCGGGTGGGACGTAGCCCTCACAATTAGATATTATATATATATATTTGTGTCTTTCCCTCAAACTAGTCAAGATATACGCGTCGCCTATGACACCCCTCGGAATTTCCCACCTTGCTCCCCCTTATGTTCTGGCTGCCCGTTTTGGTTCCATCAGTTGCCTGATGATCGTAGTAATACGTGAAACTCAGAGTTGTAACAAAGCTTCCAAACTCTCTCTTGTGTAGTCAAGATATATAATTATATTAACGTCAATATCGTACCATTAACGAATCATCGGATACACCGAGTCCCAGCCAGGTGTTGGTTGCCTGTCCGGTCGTGAAGGTGATGTTCACTCGTCCACTGCTGCCGTCCACAACGCCGGCAACCTTGTACAAGCACGATGCGCCCGCGCAACCCAACGGAACACTTAACTCTGCATATCCACCCGCAAACAAGCAACAGTCGGTATGCAACAGCTGAGACTATTGGTCGCCATTTAGTGCAGTGCAGTGCAGTCTGAACGGGACACAACCTACTCCAGCTCAATCCAGTGTCCAAAATAGGTGGAATCATAACATTCAAAGAACGATTTCAGGATACGAAAACTGGCTATCAGAAAGCACTAGTCTAGCAACATACAACGCTCCATATCAAAGTCGCCTAAGAGATTCATACTGCAAGTAATGGGCACAAGTATAGGATACAGGTACAATGGTACATGTACAGTGCTGACAACTGAAATCCGACCCCCTGAGCGGTGCGCTCACATCGCAAAGAATGTGAACCCACCGCTCGGGGGGTCGGATTTCAGTTGCCAGCACTGTACATAGGGAAATCTAAAGTCACAGAACTGCCTTTCGCTGGCTTTAGTACTAATAGTAGTTTTGATAACGCTTCGCTCTTCATTGACTGGATGTCTATCATTCTCTCTTCTTTCTTAGTATTTTCTCCCCAACCCTCCTTGCCTGTAACACAATAATGTATTCGCTGTCTTGTCATTGAGCATTTGTGCTCGTTTGGATTTGCGAATTCAAATAAAGTATACAAACAAACAAACAAAGGAAGCACACTCTTGATCTTTCGAGTGTAGCCTAAACCTTGGGCATTGCAGCACCAGTGCAGGAGAAACCATTGTTGATACGGAATGGTCTACCTACTAGTCTGGCATTGAATGATTCGTTCTAAAAACAATGCTGATACGTTCGCAAAGCAATCTACCCGCATCTGTCTGTTCTGATTTTGTTCGCGTTACCGCACAACAGCCCAAACCAGGAGAGAACCTTTGAAGGGTCGGCGGGGAAGCAAGTTGTAAAAATGTCACAGGGAAAAAAGGAAACGTTCGCAAATGAACTTACCGAATGCAGGTGGGTCTGATTGTGAGGTCGGAATCATGATGGATGAGGCAGAACGGAAAAGCAGAACACAGGAACAAATGCGTCAGTAAGAGATTCAATAGAATGGGAAGTACAAACACCGCACTGGCACATACCCAATTCACCATCACTGTTGTGATGGGGGTTCTACCTCCGAACTGACGGAAGTGCTCGTGCAAAAACAGTTCGCCCGGAGTGCAGCAAACCGAGGAGCGCTAGTACTAGTAGTAGGAAGGCCAGGGACTCGAACGCCCTTGAACCTTCAGCCTGATCGCCAGATCGGTTTACCTACGCACATCGTAACCCGGCTCTGGGATACCATCTGGTAGATGGCTTGCTGCAATGCAAGCCACCTGTATGCTGAGCAACGACGTTGGTTACGTTGACCAGTTGCAAACACAAAGGTTTGGGTAGACTCTACGCAAGATACATCGTTCCCCTCGGAGCTCGGGTGGATGGATCGTGGTGAAAAATGTTTGGAAAATAGGTCGACGAGATGTTCCGCAGTGTAGCTTGCCGCGCAAGCCATGTAAATATATCTACCACTTACCAGATGAGACGATCGAGTCGCCGGTAGCCGGATCTAGTACAAGTAAGTACAACTCTAGACCATGGTCCTGGAAGTAACTAGTACTCATGTATATGTAGTAGAGTTAGACACGACTGTAGCCATGGTAGCCGCGGGATCTACGACCGTTCACCGAAAACGAGTTCATAGAACGACCATTCACAGAACGACGTTTCACCGAAAGGCGTTTCACAGAATTCACCGCCAATACCGATTCATCGAAATATCTAATCACCGAATGTTCATTCACAGCATTCTGTTTTGTCGAATCCCTGTTCACAGACGCATTGTTTCACCGAGTGGACGAACTGTTCACCGAAAATTACTTATATTGGCCCCAAAATACAAACAAGGTCCACATGGGACAAAATTTGCAATGCTTTTAAAAGTATTAACTGGTTTGAGGGAAAGAGACAAACGGGAAAAGTCTGAAGAAAAAATTGACTGTCACCACCAGGACTCGAACCAGGGACCTTCGCTTGTAGCCAGCCATGCTCTAACCACTGAGCTATGGTGAAGTCGTCATCCCAGCAGAGGCCGTTCAACATTTTCTTCAGACTTCGTAACTCACACTTCCTGTGAATCCACACAGGAGAAAAAGTGTGTTTATTTATTTATTCAACATCTTATGGCTTCCGATGGCAGCCAAAACGGGAAGATGTGGGTGATAGCCAACCATGGTAAAGACTTTGAAACGGATACCAGTAGATAGCTTGGTCAGTTTTTGGATGACTGGCAAAAAAATGTGCATACGATATCAACCTTCCTTTGCACTGAAGCTCGTATTTTTCTGTCGCACCTCCAGAAGTTAACTTCATCCCGTCCTCTCTTGTCAACGAAGTGCGCATATCCTTTTAGTATCCAACGAAGACCTCCGCGCTTGGTCGTTGAGACGTAATCTGGGGGTCCAGTGTAAAGTAATTCCATATTTCAAGATGAAAGTAGTGAAACTCTGCTGTGATTTCAATCATGTGCCGGTATAATTATATGCACATGTATATGCATGCAAATGCCTATTCCAGGCAGCGAGTGTGTCTTTTGGTACCCACATAGTCATTGTGAGTGTGCGGAAACCTGCACATTTACAATTGTAACAATACGTGTACAAGATACCAGAACTACAAGTGCTTTGTCAGGTCATTTAGCGTCTACAAGACGCTGGGATCAGCGACATGGTGTTACTGGTACATGTATTAGTATGCGGTGAAACTGCTATTCTTTATAGGATTCAGCAATCTAGCACTGCGTACACGTGACACAATCGAAAAACAATCATCTGAATACACAGCACGACAATCAGTATGCTGAAACAAATGACTAGCAATGGACGACTCATACTCTTCAGAACTAACATCAGAACAATCAGCATGTGCGGTGGACACATCCCATACCAAAATGGCTAGTCGAGTGGACCCTAGCCGGAAAAACAACCGGACAAGACACCTACTGGCGTGGCAGTGACAGGAACCGTATCAACTAGAAGAATGACAAGATCGGCAACGACGGCGATGGCAGCGTCTAAACTAAAGCACTGACAGAGGCAACGGCTAGGGTCCACTCGACTAGCCATTTGATATCGGATGTGTCCACCGCACATGCTGATTGTTCTGATATTATGTTAGTTCTGATAAGTATGAGTCGTCCATTGCTAGTCATTTGTTTGAGCATCCTGATTGTCGTGCTGTGTATTCAGATGATTGTTTTTCGATTGTGTCACGAGGACGGAGTGCTAGATTGCTGAATGTTTTGGATTCGAACGCGATAATAATTATTATCGATGTAATCAATGACAGTCATTTTTTCGGTGAAACTGCTACTGAGTATGCGGCAGAAGTATTACTATTAGTGCCAGAACTGCTATTCTGTGAACCGACATTCGGTGAACATGCTGTCGATGAACCTGGTTTCAGTGAACCTGATTTTGGGGGAAGTGAACAGTCGCTAAATCTTACACTCTGTGAAATGTCTTTCGGTGAAACATCGTTCTCTGAATGGCCGTTCTGTGAATGCGTTTTCGGTGAACCGTCGAGATACCCGTATGGCAAACTGCGATTTTCCGAAACAGGCAATGCGCATGCCAAATCTTGAATGCATTTTCATGCAATCATCATCATTATCATGCACGCGTGGTCTGGAACATTATTACATGTCGTACGTTGTACAAATGAGAGTCCTACGGCTCGGTAGAGTGCTCAATATTCGTTCCGAACGGTTCGAATAGAGCTAAATTGCACACGGCACAGAGCACCAAGCATCGTTCGTTGTAACTAAAGTTTTTTTTTAGTTACAACGAACGATGCTTGGTGCTCTGTGCCGTGCGTCATACTTTGTATAAAAAATGGTATCCCCATGTACTGTACCTGTACATGGGGATACCATTAAATTATTTTTTGTATCCCGTGTCATGTGGAAACTGAATACACGGACGTACATGTATGCCATAAGTCAGAATTACTAGAAACTTTCTCATTCGCTACGGCACACGGGCCGGGCCATCTTTCAGCAGTGACTAGGCATCGGCGGCTAATGCTCGTTTTTTCACAGTATAATGGTTTTGGCAGTGCTCGATATTTCACGGCATAATGCCTGTTATAATGCTCCATTCACACTATAATGCTAGAGTGATATGTACATTTTCGAGCTATCTTGGGCAAATATGCACATGGAAAAGAAATGTATCCACAATTGGCTCATACTGAGATAAGGAAGTGTAGTTGTATATGCATGACCACACGAAAACACGCAACTGTCGGAAGAGCGACGCAAGAGTGTCGGTACACTGTCTGTACAAGCCTCTTGTCATGTGAAAAGACGTGTAAAAAGTCTTGTATTGTACCAAAATAGAACTGATAATGCTTTCTCCAGCCAAAAACATGCCACCTAATGCCGAGCACTGCTACTTCTTCAAAACACCCATATAATGCTAGTTATAATGCTAGCATTAGCCGCCGATGCCTAAGACCGATTTCCGGAAGATTCCTTTGTCCGACGTGACAGATAGGAATTTTCGATACTGTGCAAAGACAGGGAACTTTTTGCACGTTTCAAGTATCCCCCAGAGGCTCGGACATTCTGATCTGGACCGCAAAGTATTGAAAGAAAGCATTTTCCTAAGGAGCCGCTCAGCGTCTCCCTGCACAACACCCGGAATAATTAGCGCTAGCGCCATTCAAAAATTTGTGGAGATGCGCAAAGTACGGGAGAGATACCGGTAGCTGCGCGAGGGATTGTCACTCTGTCTACTCTAGTCAGCGAAACGAGTTGTGGATCAATCCTATCAAAACATGCTCACGGTTAACCCTTTGGAGTCCATGGTTCGATTTCGACCCATGGGCATTGTGTATGCATGTGGGTGCAGTCAAACGTTCGGTTCTCGGCCGAATCTTGACCAAATTCAACAAGGTGGTCTAGGTGGTAGAGAAAACTAATAAAAAGCAATTCTATGTCCGCATCTACCCTACCCGTGTCTACCCTATTGCGTGTTTCTAGTTCATACCAGGGAGTTCTAGTTCTGCAATACACCTTCAACTAGCCCTTGACGGATAATGCCAGGAGAAAATTGATAGAATTTGGTACTTTTTCTGGTATGTTTCATGCACGTTTGGTATGTGGATAACGAAGTGGAGCAGAATTCAAACACGTGCCTGTCATAACGTTTGTATTGTTCTGCTCATTTCACAGCTTTTCGTGCAATTTACGCATTGGCGGATAATGCTCGAAAAGATGGCAGATTCTGCTCGAAAAGCAGTGAAATTGGCAGAACCATACAAACCTTATGGCGGGCAATTCCTCGAATTCTGCTCCATTTTTTATGCACATAACAAACATGCATGAAACGTACCAGAAAAAAGTACCGAATTCTGCCAATTGTTCTGCCGGCATTATCCGCAAAAGGCTACCTCATACTGACAAGAGTACATAACTGTTTGTGTCCCTTTTTGATAACGATTCCGGATTCAGTGGATGGCGAAATGGAGCAACCACCTCAAAGCAGGCAGGCACGAAGACCAAAGAGGAGAAAGAGGTCCGATACCTAATTTAATAGACGAGTGTAGGAATTAGAGTTGTGGCCACAGAGCTTCTAGACTGTCTGATCTCTAAGTACTTTTCCATTCCATGGAATGGACTAGGTTGACAATGGCAACTAAATATCCGTCGAAAGACTAATGGTACCGCCTTATAATACTTAGAAGAGTCGCCGTAGGGACCGCCGGATTATGCTCGAAAAGGTGGCAGATTCTGCTCGAAAAGCAGTGAAACTGGCAGAACCATACAAACCTTATGGCGGGCAATTCCTCGAATTCTGCTCCATTTCTTTATCCACATACCAAACATGCATGAAACTTACCAGAAAAAGTACCGAATTCTGCCAATTTTTCTGCCGGCATTATCCGCATATGCCTACTTATAATACTTCGAAGAACGTGCTGTTTGTGTTTTCCGTGACAGCATAAGAGAGCCCGTTGCCATGTACATAATACACAATATCCTTTCCCGGTACCCCAATTTAAAGTTGCCGAGTAAGCTACAGTCTGTGCATGTGCATCCGCGCAGCCGCACATACCTTGTGAAGCCACGACCTGGAAGAATGAAAGAACCAGGACTAGTGCGGGAGCCGCCCATCTTCCCTTTTGCGCCTGGCCTCGTACAGCTCCATTGCGCGCCATCACCAACACCGTGCTCCCGCGAGCGCCGCTCAGCTTGTCTCTGCGAGCAGTCTGCACTTCAAGAGGAAACGTTGCATAGGACGGAACCGCCTGCCCCTCCGAGTATTCGCGCTGTGCCAACGATGCTAACCGTTTCAGAATGAAACACACCTCTTACAGCTGCACAGACAGCTGGAATATACCTTCAATTCAACTGTCCTCCCGAACTCGTAGTGGGATGCCTGGAGATCACTACGGATGGGACTTCAGAGTTGGTGCAGAGCAACTATGACACTGACATGTGCTGACTGCTAGTCCTGTAGGCATCAGTCTTGAAGGCTCAGCTCGCGAGTCCAACACCCTGAAATTTGTTGCTTGTTGACACCCTCTGACAGGTATGAGTGACACCTCTCTAGTGCCGCTTGTCTCGTAGACAGTACTTCGAAGCAGACACTGTAAGGCAGCGCAGAAATTCAAACTTCAGACAGTTCCATGTTTGACCGCCCTATCGTGCATGGAGGGTAGCGTATCGAGTCGAGACATCACCGATGGCGATGTTGGTCCCTATGTCAGTATGTGTACGAGCTACGAGTACATTGTTGTCATGAGTGGCCGACAATGCACTACCATGGCATCCACATGATAAACTTCTAAAAGCACTGTACTCTGTACTGTAATAAGTAGATACTTACTTCACGTCTACATGACTTTATTTTGCCCGTAAAAGAGGCCGTTACCCCGTAAAAAAAAAAAAGTAGATACTTATTAGCTTATCACTTAGGGCATGTTCGATTGGTAGGATCGGGATCCCGATCCACCGAATCCACTGGATTCGCTCCCTTTCGATTGGTCGAATCTGGATCCGGATCCTTCGTATTTGGATCCGGGCAACCCACCTCGCGGGAAGCAGGGTTGACCGGATCCAACGGATCCAAATGTGACCTTTGTGCGTATATGGCGGGTAAAAATCGTTTTTGTACACATTGTGGTACGCCCACGTGGATGGAGATAGAGCTTGTTGACTTTTTGTACAACTGGCGCGGTGAGTACGACTTTTTATTACTTCGTCAACATGGCAACAGTCAAGGCCCAAAAAAAGTGTCCAGTTGACTCTGAAGGATCCGACGGATCTGAGATCTGGATCCCGATCCTTACCAATCAAACATGCCCTTAGATGGTACTGCATTGTAAGAAAAGTCTTTTTTAATTTATTAAAATGTTTACACAAAGTGCAATCTCGACAAGCATCGCGTCGTCCAATCTCCCTGCTCCCCTTCATATCCAAGGTGTGTGAGCGTATCGCCTATGACATGTTATACAATCATGTGCATGCATGTATTCCCCATGTTAGCTCCTTCCCAATCTGGTTTCTGCAGTGGAGACTCCACCTCCCTGCAATTATCTCATATCATCTGAAACGTTTCCATGCTCAGAGACAGTAAAATGATTGTTGGCATCTGTTGCTTTCACCTTGTGCAGGCATTTGACAGCGTTTGGCATTGCGGGCCAATCTACAACATTCGTTTGAGGTACATGTACATGTATACGGCTCGCTATTGTAATGGTGGATATCTTACCTGAGCAGAGCTAGAGGCGCGCCCTCCCCTCAAATATTTCGATTTTTTTAGTACATGCACGTGGGTAGTTGCGCAAGTGTTTGCACATGCTGTGACAAGCAGTTTCTAGTTTCAGGTAAGAAAGTTCTTCTGAACACGGAATAGTTGTTCTCTTAGACTTTGGTTGACTTTTAGTTTGGAAATTAGTGTTCAGTTGACGAACTTGTATAGCTAAGTCGGTGAAGGGGATGGCGCACCGCCCGCCCAAGCGGCCAGGAGCCAACAAACTCTCACGGATTTTTCGCGAAGCGAACTTGCGCTTCGTCAGCTGCTCAGTCGAGCGATCCGTCTTTGGAGGAGAATTCGGACCACAGCGAAGACCCTGAGATCGAGGTCTGCTCGGACTCTGATCTTCCTCCCGTAAGCGGTCTGAGAAAGACTTTCAAAGTAAATCTCAGCCATTGCAAACAAGAGATCTCCAATCGAGGCAAGGGTGGTGCGCCCGGGAAGGGAGGGGGATGCCTTATGTTGCAGGGCAACACTATACATCGTGTAGGTCTAACCAGTATACGATTATGCTCACTAGACTGAGCACATATCAACTGCAAGTGCCATGAACAAGACGTTTTTTCCCCTCCGCGAAACTGGAATTTTTCGACCATACTTCTTCATGGTACCTTCATGCACAGTACATGTGGAGCAAGCAGGACAACACCAGTGTAGGGCAGTAATGGGTTAGGACGGGAAGTCTCCATTGAATTCATGTGGCCTGAAACTATAAGACATAATCGAGGACAAGTACTACGGAGCATCAGCAAATCGAATTTTCGATTTGATTATTCGAATGGCAAAAAGAAAATCAGAGAGAAAATTCGAATGAAAAAGAGGTTCAGCATGTAGCGCAGTCCAGTATTTTCGAATCGAGTTTTTTTAGCTTGAGCAGTTGAGGACTGGGATTTTGAGATGTGCAATGAACGGAGTTGCTGTTGTTTCTCATTGCCTTTGGGGATGACGCGAAGCGGCGGATGCTTCATCCGATTCAGGCTATTGGCGATAGGATCTCTCTTGGAGACCCCTTGAAAAGGCGGATCTCGGCCGAGCTCCTCCGCTATCCCTTGCATATCAGGAGACCCGCGGACGAATAGGTGAGGGTGGGCCCTACACTGCCTCAGCAGAATGAGATCCATGGTAAGGTCGACCCTCAAAAATTTGGCACACTTTGAGTTGCCCTCTCCCTGCGGGGAACTCACCATAGACGCAGATGCCGAGACAACGCCAGCAGGGCTACTGCAGTACTGGGAGCAGGAGGCATACCGGGGCTGGTAGTTGGTGACAAAGCCATGATTCCAGGATACTTGAAATGAAACAAAATGCACACTTGATAAAACTTTTCACAGTTCGAGAGAGAGGAAAGCGTCAAGATTGACAAGAAGTCCGGACTAGTACTTTAGTAAGAACTAGTAGCTACATGCGCAAGAATGAGTACTCGTAGTGCGCCGTGTACTAGAGCACGCGCGGAGCATTCGAAAAGTATTCGAAAAGTATTTTCTGTTTGCGGGCATTTTTCAGTCGAACAAAGCCCTAGTTTCGACTGATTGAGTGCTTTTCGTGACGATTCTCGAATTTCATTCGAATATTCGATTTGCTGATGCTCCGTAATACCGGATTTTACTTTCTGATCCAGTCTTCTCCATGGATTCTCATTACTACAATGTCATGAGTTTGGGGCACTATGGTCAAATCAATCCGGACCCATGCAGTGCAATGCAAGAGAAGCGTTAGACATTAAAGGATACACTGAGAAGTGTTTTGGATTCCCACTATCAATATACATGTATTATACAACAACAACCAGTGAGAAAGGTGCACATGCGCGCTACAGTTGCTCGCAGATACGAGATACGGTTAGCATTTTACCGTTCACGCTAACTACTTCGACCCTACGTCGGCCTGTACCGTTTTCTTGTGTGTTACACACACACACACACAAAAACCGGTACATGTACAGGTGGTCCGTCGATATTTAAATAGCGTGAACGGTAAAATGCTGCCCACGTCTACTGTGAATCTCGGAGGCATGCATGGCTGCACGGATGCATGGATGCACGGATGCATGGCTGCACGGATGCACAACATGCTCTTGCCGCAAAAGGCAATCAACACGATCTGACCGTGACTACAATGCAGTGAACGATCCATGGTGAACGTCAACTTTCACCAAAGAAAAGACAGAGCGAGCAACTTCAACGCATTGACTATACAATGTAGCTGCACAACTAGTACCACAACGGAATCACATCACGGAGGATGCACCTCGAGCCAAACACACGTACGTCATTGCACACAGAATTCAACCACAATCAGCACCTAATTATACATGTCCATACCTGACGGTAGTACTATTCCAGCAAGAAGCTCAGCACTCGAATACCACAACTGACTGAGTCGCTCCGCGCCGTGTACAAGTAAGTACGCCTTTCGCCAAGACCAATCTACAATCTGGCTCAAGCCAGACGAGCAGCGTCTTTTGTCGCGCCACGGCAAGCTAGAACAGCAGCGGCGGCAGAGGAAGCCATGGCAGTCTCCGCAGTCCCTGGCACCCCAGACCGAGTAGCACAGTCGCAAGCCGGCATAGAACCAGTCAACTACCGGTATACGTCCAGCACTCCGCACATACATAGAACCAGTCAACTACCGGTATACGTCCAGCACTCCGCAGATACAGGATACTGTTACCAGTCCTGGTGATGTCCTAGATAGGACATCACGGAACCCAGCATGCCCCAGCATACATACTATGCTGTTCCCATAGTAATCGTGACACGTGACTCAAAACTTTGTGTCGCGTCCGAGGAAGATGAACATTTCGCACTCAAAGCAAACGCAACGAAGGCCTTTCGTCTCAAAAGTAATTATTATTAGTTGTCGTTCTCCTGGCGGCTTGCCTCAAGCGAGTCGAGATTCGTATCTTGCCTCTTGCCTTCACGAATTTTATTTTCCTCGTTGTGGAGTACGCCTGGACAAATGAACTGGCAAGCGAATCGTTTTGGTCGCATTGAAAATTGCAAGTGCACAAGAGGATTGGCGAAGCAATTTGTGTTCGCACTTTCAGCAGAGCAGTAGCTGCTGCTGCGATAAAGTTTTTACTTTCGCCATTGGTTTCAGGCAGCAGAAGGATCTGGCTGAAAGCGATGGCGATACGTCCATGACCACCACGTCCTGGGGTGATATCCAAGAAAGACCGTCCAAGGTCCAGTTTTAGCCAAGAGCTGTCGTATCCAAGAAATCAAAAACGCCAACAGCAAGCTTTGGCCAAATACTATCTTCCAGGCAGTAATTTACGGGCCTAGCGCCTGCTGCCTCGTCTTCCTCCTCTGCATGGCCAGTTTTTGGGGCGAAATGAACGCACGCGCACGGGGCGTGAAGAAACATTCCAAAGGCAAAATATTCAAAATAATAACCAATCGTTTCCAAAGAAGCGCCGCGTGGCTACGAGAAACCCCACATGAAATCCCCAAACGAAAACGGCCATTCGGTCGGGTATTCGATGGAGAATCGAATATACACTACCTCAATCCCCGCCGATGTCTGATATTCTCCGCCTATTCCCTCAAACTTGACCAATTCGGAAAGAAATCCATCGCCATTACGATCGTGCATCCTCCACATACATTCAGAAATGCTCACGCAGCACTTCTTTTCATCGCGTGTGCGCGACCGACGCTTCCATGACAACTCTGGGACAGGTAACCAATCAGACTCATTCAGAGTGCGATGTCCTAGATAGGACATCTCCCCGACTGGTTACAGTCTGCGCTCTGCCCCCGGTCGCAAGTTCCTGTTAGCATCTACAACGCCGGCCATGGCATACGTGAATTGCCTCAACATAACAACGTAACATGTATGCACACACCCCATCCTCATGTTGCCTGATGATTGCGCGATAGGGTCCGGCGGATTCTGTCGGCAGAAAAATTGGCAGAATTCGGTACTTTTTCTGGTAAGTTTCATGCATGTTTGGTATGTGGATAAAGAAATGGAGCAGAATTCGAGGAATTGCCCGCCATCAGCTTTGTATGGTTCTGCCAATTTCACTGCTTTTCGAGCAGAATCTGCCACCTTTTCGAGCAGAATCCGCCGGTCCCATAAGAGGTTATGCGAAAGGATCACGTGCAGGCGGCGTGTAGGCGGCCAAAGCGGCCGCGCTCCGCAGGGGTGGCAAAAGAGATGAAAAGTTCAAAAGAAGTACATGTGCCTGGAATAATTTCACGAAGGAAATTTCCTGTATCGCTGTTACGTTCCTCTTCTGTTCTTTACAAAGGACTATTGTACGAACGCTGAATCAGTGGCCATGACTTCTCCCAAGTTTTCAAAAGTGTATGACGAGTTAGATGACTCCAGCAAATGCCGGTACCGTGAAAAGCTCGAGCGCGTTTCACCAGACTCGAGTGATCCTTACCTGCCCAGAAGTATTTTTTTAGAGGAAGATAAATTTCCACTTGTGGACTATCCCGATATTTACAATTTCTTGGTCAACGCGCCCAGCCCCTACACCAAGGAGCAGCTCAAGGCCTACAAGAGCTTGGAAGGCTACAAATACCTTGTCAGTGGCTGGGTCGGCGATGTTCGTGCGTTTCCAGCGTCCGAATCTGACACATGTGACAGCAAGTTTGTCATCGCCAAAGTCCGCCATTCCCAGTCAGTTTCCGGCACCCATCTGCAACCCTGGATTGCTGCGCAAAACGACGGTAGCGTGATTTGTGCACACTGCACCTGCATGGCTGGTCTTGGTGAGTCTTGTTCTCACGTTGCTGCACTGTTGTTCAGCCTGTATTCTAGAACGCAGCTGATTCAGAACACAGGAAGCACTTCATTGCCGTGCCAATGGTCAACTCCTTCAATGAAGGAGGTGGAGTATGCCAGGATTCGTGACATAAACTTCACTGCACCCGACACTAAACAGCATGGGAGCAAGCGCCGTAGGTCGGAGGAGAAGGTCCCTGCTGATATTAAGCAACCCTCCAGTGCTGAGCTGGGTGAACTATATGGAAATTTATGTCAAGCCGGTAAACCGTCATTGCTCTCCCTTGTTCCCGGGTTCTGCGATAGGTACGTACCTTCCAAGCCCGAGGGATATCCACCCATTTTGGATTTATTGTACGAACCAGACATGCTGGATGCTAGTTTTGGGGACCTGCTCGTTCGTTGCGAGGCAGTATTTCCAGCGGTCTGTGTTTCAGAGGAGGAAGCACGCGCTGTGGAACAGGCTACGCGGAACCAGGCAGATTCCAAGGCCTGGTTTGAATTTCGCGCCGGCCGGATCACAGCTTCAAAGTTGAAGTCTGCTGTTCGCACGGATATTAGCCAGCCCTCTGCGTCCTTAGTCCGCTCTGTGTGTTACCCTGAGGCACACAAGTTTCGTAGCAAAGCCACACAATGGGGATGTGATCACGAGCAGAAGGCAATTGACAACTATAGTGAACATGCCAGTGCAACACATCAGAAGGTTGAAGTACTGCCCAGTGGCTTTGTAATTCATCCGGACTATCCATATCTTGGCGCTACTCCCGACTCCCTTGTGCAGTGCTCCTGCTGTGGCAACGGCGTGGTGGAAGTGAAGTGCCCGTACGGGTGCCGAGACAGTAGCCTGCATGATGCTGCCGATTCAGGGAAGTTCTGTCTAGTAAAGTCCGGCGGAGCACTCCATCTTAAGCAAGACCACATGTACTACTACCAAGTACAGCTACAGATGCTGGTGTGTAAGGTGCAGTATTGTGACTTTGTTGTGTGGAATGAAGGTCAGCTGTTTGTGGAGCGTATCTGTGCAGACACAGATTTCATCCGTGAAGCGGTAGCAGGTGCCAAGAAATTCTTCCAGTGTGCTGTTCTCCCAGAGCTTGTTGGGAAATGGTTCACTAAGACGTTCTCCACTCTTCCTGCCGATGCGTCTTCAGCGGCTACATCAGCCTCGGAACCACTTGGTGCTGCCAGTACAACATCTACTGCGGATCAAGAACGCCCTCCGGAGTTTTGCTACTGCAAGTCTGTGAAGGCTGGCGAGGTACTGCGATGTTCCAACAACGATTGCAGTATTCGTTTGTTCCACATGGCTTGTTTGCAGCTGAAGAGTAAGCCAAAGCGCAAGAACTGGACCTGCCCGGAGTGTCGCAAGATTAAATCTGCCACTAAATAATGATATGCATGTACAATTACAGTGGTAGCGACTTCGGCGACAAGTTTATAGGAATGTTGGTCGCTAAGTACAACGTTCGTCAGCCTACTCAAGCTCAACTGCATGAGGGGTGAATTCCCCGAAACACTGTGTATTGAGCAGGGAGTGGTGCTTTCTTGCAGGTTTGCCGGAAGGAGGGCTCGAGGGACTTCTTCTCTGCTCTAGATGGCAGTTGTGAGTCAGTCAAGTGTCTGGATGGAAGTCGTGAGTTTGTCAAGTTTCTGAATGGCAGTCGTGAGTCAGTCAAATGTCCAGTCAAGGCGGCAGAAAAGCTCGACCTCTAGTATGGGGTGCAACCAACTTTCCATGTACATAGTCATTTTTGTCGTAGCATTTGTAAATCCAAGTCTCGAGCATTTGAGAAGTGATTATATTCATGGAGCCTGCTATTCTGGTATTTCTAGAGTTGCATTTTCAACTTGTTCTGCTGTGCCTTCCACGGTACTTGCTGTTGCACTTGCCACGTGTGTGCATACAATCGGTGGCTGGGCTTTCACAACGATTTCCGTTACCTTTCTTGTATTTCTTTGCTTGCATGTATCTCTGAAGGACCATAATGCTGATTCGTATTTGTGGGTCCCAGGACATGCGTGAAGACCACTCACTGCTTATGCATGTGAACAGAGGAACTCCATCATTACACATCAAACACTTCGCTCTTTACATCTCTTCCGGGTGATGTTGGCATAAGTTGAGTTGTTCTTTGGTGCTGGGCATACTACATAAAATTATTCTGATGGTACATCGCGCACTACCCAGCACCCTAAGTTGGGTTTCAGGGCTATTCATAATTATTATATTGTGTTGTCCCTATTTGGACCAGGAGTCATTATATTGATGCAACAAGAAACGGAGGCATGTCGTGAGTGATGGTAGAAGCCAGTATTATTACTATTATTATAAGTCTGTTGGCGTTGCCATGACCAAGCAAGCTTGGCTAGCCAGACAAAAGAAACTAGAAACAAGCGAGGTCAATGAGGTGAACACATGCGCATGCAACTGCAGAATAGGTAAAACAGAAATATAATTGCCGGTATATCCAGACAGTCCAAAAAGCACAAAGGGTTAATAATAAATTTGAATAATAATAATATAATAATATAGCAATCATTACAGCTGACAAAGCGGCATGATGTAATTTACTCGAAAGGTACGACGGACTCACAACAGTTGCACAGAGCACAGCAGACGGTGACAACCTTGTCAATGAATGCACATGATGTAGCTTTATCGTCATGCATGAGGAAAGCAATGGGCAAAGTGCCAGAGAGGATCGTGTATTTCTGGCGAAGCATTCCAATCACTCGCTCCACATGGATACGGACGCGTGACACTTGTCGAGCACTGTCCAATTTCAGCCTGGAGAGTTGCTTCTTCCCCTTCGTAAATGGGGGCATCACCAACTCTGCGCAGAACATGCCAACGCTGTCTTCAACAGTGAAACCACGGTCAGCCAGCACCTGGTCACCCGGATTTAGGTGACTAAGCAGACCGCAGTGCTCTGTGATGAACTTGTCTGAGGCTCTCCCGCCCCATGCATGCGAAATAAATGTAATGACACCTTGTGGCGCTACGCCAATCAAAAACTTTGCAGTGTTATGGCTTTTATAGTGAGAGTACGTTTGAGCTCTTGCCATCAGATCAGAAGGTCGTTCACAAAAAACTTCAAAGCAGTCAATAATGACAGCACAGCCCGGGAAATGCTTACGAAATTCAAGTGGCAGAGTTTTGCGTAGTTCGTCCCTTTCCGGCCATTTGACAAGTGGTCCCAGCATCACATGCATCACCCGGATCCAGCGCTGGAAAATCCGGCACACGGTCGACTGGTGAATGCCGAATCTGTACGCCAAGTCTTGGTCCCGACAATTCAGCCGAAGCTTCATGAGAACAATCAAGAACTGCTGGAAGAGAGAGAGAGCGTGTGGCGGTGGTGCTGTGGAACTCTCTTCCTCACGTGTTCAAATATGCCCATCATGGTCCCAAAAGACTGCAAACCAGTGTAGAAGAGCACCTTCGCGTTGTCTTTCTCAAACGACTCGATTGACAAGGTGTCACCTTGTCCTGGAGCGTGTGGCATCCGTTTGCTTTCCAGGACCAAACAGTTGTTTGTCTCCTCCAGCCGCGTCAAGTGCTCCATATCCATGTCAGTCTGCGATGAGACACTGGAGACTGCTACAGGATCAGACTCTACCTCTGCACCATAGGCACCAGGCAAATCTGCCATTGCCTCTGTGAAGTCATTCCCGGAGGCGTCCACTTTCACTGGTGTCTGCGTCTTGCTCTCCTCGAACGTCAGCTTCCGCTTCGCTCGGCGTTCATATGCCACCAAATCCCTCTCCGCTTTACGCTTTACAGGAGTCCTGACATGTTCAAAAAGTTTCGGAACGTAAGCGGGAGATAGTGGATCGTTGCTCTTCTCTGCGCCTACGAAATGGTCTGAACAGATCCTGCTACTGTCAGTTGGCTTCCAATTCTCTCGTCTCATAGCCGCAACCCATAGTTTGCGCCGCTCGTCCGCTACAGGAAACTTGTAAAACTTCACAGCCGTTCCAGGATCGGCACGATTGCTACATCCGACGGCTGCACAACTCTTCGGCATGTTGAAGGCTAAAAACTTCAGCAAGCGAGACACCAGCGGAAATAAAGTGAGGAACGATATGTCGACAACCAACAACAAATTTTACTTTTCCTCTCAAAGACTAGTAAAAAATAGTTCAAGCAGAAACGACTTCATTTTGCCACCCCTGCCACTCGCAGCCGCCTTGGCGCTCCTCGTGACGTCATTCGCATAACCTCTATAGGGCTTGAAAGTGATGACGTCAAAACGGCCAGGGAGTAGTAAGTTGACATCAGATTTCTATTTTTGGATCCACTAAGGTGTGACTTTGCTATTGCCTAAGTATGTGGGTGCATAGCAACCCACTCATGTCGCATGCAGGTGTGACTTTTATTTCGCCACCAGTTGTAACCCCGCCCCCCAGTAGCCAAATCAGTCAGTTTCACTGGCTACATCACCATCCTGTGGGTAAGACCGCTTGAAATGTGCTTGGATCCATACAAAAACTGGATCCAAGTGGATCCAGTTTTTGAATTTTTGAAATTGTTGCTATGCTGTGACGTAGCACTTTCAAGCCCTATTGCGAGAGCATGAAACTTGAAGGAGCAGCAAACAAGCCTTAATTGTCTTTGTTGTTCTGTATGCACACCATTATGTTCACCGGTTAAACTACAGGAGCATTGCCTGTTGTAGGCCTGGGCCCGGCCCCACCCTGCCCATGTACGCCACCTAAACATTACGCGAAGAATCAACTACATAGTAACATACACTACATGTAGCCCTTGGACCCGGTTGCCTTGCATTATTCGGTTTCATTTTCCCATGGCATGTTTAGTACCCGAGGGTGTCCGTATTCTAGCACTACAAACTGTAGAAGATGCTTTCTTTTTTTTGCGGGGTAACGGCCTCTTTTACGTTACGGGCAAGATAAAGTCATGTAGACGTGAAAAAAATGGAGATACCATGAAAGGTAAAATATAATTTTATTCAAGTACAATACATTGGAAAACTCCAAAAAACTCCACGTAAAAAGTAGAAGATGCTTAGTCCACTGTACATGTACATGTACATGTACAGTGGTGGCCAAAAGTTTTGACCCACCCCATGGAATCGTCAGTACAGCTCAGCCTGGCTCCTAAACACGCCGTTTTTGACTTCTTTGAGGCCAAAGCCGATTGAAACTTGGCAAGGACACTAAAATTTGCAAGAATCCGTTGTCAACTGAGATTTGTGATGGATCACCATACATTTGGGTGGGTCAAAACTTATGGCCACGTGACCAAATTTTGCTCTACCGTACCGTACGGTTTCAAAAAAGTTGTCAGGCTGATGCACGTGCCGGGAAAGTTGAAAATCAACACTTGACTTCTCACTTTGAGAGTTTGCGATATCAAACTTGATTATTTTGACGACGGAGATGGTATTTTCAGGCAGGATAGTGAACCGAGGTCAGATTAGCAAGGATGTGAGGGAAATGGTCGTGAAGCTGAGTGTTGACGGTCTCTTTTGGCGTGGTATCGCTCCTCTGTTGGATTTGAGTAATCCTACGATACGTAGAATTGTCAGGAAACAAAAATTGACTACATTTCACCTCGATCAGACCGACCAAGAGAGACCAGTGCAAGACAAGATCGCCACCATATCATGAAGTCAATGGAGAATCACCTCAAATCCGTCACTGCCTGCGAGCTGAGATGGTGAGCGACGGTGATAACGCGATTTCTGTGCGTTCTGTGAGACGCAAGTTGCAGAGAGCAGGCCTACGTGGCTGTATGGCCATCAAATGGCCCTTCATCAGTGCTGTGAATAAGGCAAAACGCCTTAAATTTGTATAGACGCACAAGGACTGGAGCAGTGATGACTGGTGGTAATTTCTGTGGACTGATGAGTCTAAAATCAACCTCAAGGGCTCTGGTGATGCAGTTTACGTCAGGAGGTGGACAGGATAGGCTCTGGCTGGCACATGCACCCGCAAAACTGTGAAGCGCCGCGACGGCAATATCAATGTATGGGAGCCATGGCCAGCAACGGCGTAGCGCGCATTTGCCGGGTGATGGATACGATGAATGCGGACCAGTACCTCGCATCCTCCGAAAACATGATGTTGCTGAGCATGATGGAGCTTGTGGGTGGTGTGGGTGGTGTCTTATGGCCGCAAACGCTCCGCAAACAGAACGGAGGCGCGGCGGACGGTGAACGGCATCACCGTCCTGACATGGCCCCTGCAGCCACCTGACCTCAATCCAACTGAGAATCTCTGCAAAATTGCTGGGCTGAAGCAGCACGATGTTGAAATCACCCCCAGAAACCAGTATGAGCTGTGGCGAGTGTGCCGGGAGGCATAGAAGTTGATTTCTCCTCACGAGCGCAAAAAGATCGTCGATTCAATGCGGCAGTGTATGCAAGAGATCATCAAGGCCAAGGGAGGGGTTACAAAGTGGTGGATGTATCTGAAATAGGCCAGGACTGACTTCTAGACTTTAGTTTAGTTGAATGCTTTTTAGAAATCACACTATTCCGTGTATCCTGTTGGCGGTTTATGATAGTGCGGGCGTTGGCCATAAGTTTTGACCCGCCTTTTACATATACTTGACCACAGTAGTCCCCAGATGACTCCGTCTTTCAGCATTTTTCATTTCTACTTCACTATTCAGCCTGATTCACAGGTCCTCGACAATTAATTTAGTAGCTTACAGCCCAAATCTTCAGAATTCGAAAAATCTGCATGGTGGGTCAAAACTTTTGACCACCACTGTACACTCATACCTCGGTTATCCGGACCCCGAAGTTACGGGCACTTCGGTCTACCGGGCACTATTTGGGCGAGTTTCAGGGGAAATATTACTACTCTTTTGTCACTTTTCGTAGAAATATTGACGTCATATGCCATATCGATGGCCTTTTCCCCATCAAGATGTATATGATTCGGAGTTACGGACATTTCAAAGTTACGGGCAGTGCAAGGTCCCGGACTGCCCGTATAAACGAGGTATGAGTGTACATGTACATGTATTTACAAAGTTGGCAACTTGCAGTAACGTTATCCATGCACACTAGACATGCACCGGTACTTCGGATGTTTGAGAATACAATCAAGCATCATGTCATGATGTACAGTCAAAATTAATGGGCATTCAGCGACCATCGCACGGCGCAAAGAAATCCGATCTCAGTTACTGACACCCCTGGCCAGTTATACTGCCAACAGTGGGAGTGCCCTCGCTTCCTAAAAGGCGTCTCTGAGACGCATGGTGTCCATCGAAAAGCAGACTGCTGTTGGCAAGTGGTCTCTTCGCTGCAAACCTGCACAAGTTCAATCATTTTTTGGGCCAGGAGCCATCATGAGGATTGAGGAGACTGGCAAGGTGGACCTACACTGTACGCGTTATACCATACAGAACACAATGTTGAAAAGAACTACGCCGAGCGCGACAAAGTACACCGGCATTGAATGCTTGAATGCTAAATGTATCACACAGAGACACTCAGGCACGCACATACACACACACACACACACACACACACACACACACACACACACACACACACACACACACACACACACACACACACACCTTGACTTTGAACTCCCTATGCCTTTGGGAAATCCTTTAAAAAATAATAAATATATATTCCGGAGAATGAAGTTGAAGACACCACTGCAGCTGTACTTATGGTTGATAAATATGGTGGTAAAGACACACCTGGCAATATGGCGGCAAACACACGCTCTCTATGCTGCAAAGTTCTGGCACAGAGCTCTCCTTCTCACCACCACCACCACCATCAGTTCGCGCCTGGCGCCTGGTCGATGCATGGTTGGCGGTCTCCGGCATAGCAGGCCGGTACATCAAGTAGCGCATGGCACATAGAAGATGAAACAGCAACGACATAGCTCGATTGCGACGTACGTTTCGTCCCCGCTGGACTCATCAGGCAATCTTGTTCTTGGATGTCTTCGTACGGAGCTTGACTCGGGAGAATGAAGTTGGAGACACCACTGCAGCTGTACTTATGGTTGATAAATATGGTGGTAAAAAGGAAGGCTCTCTCTTTACTTGGAGTGACCTTTTACTCGAAGCTGTCATTCAGCACTCATCTCCGGAAGGTTGCCCTCGAGCCAAACAACGCCTGGGCTTCCTGCGCCGTGCAGCGCACATTCGCTCTCCAGCCGGCCGCACCACAGTATACAAAGCATTTGTTCGACCAGTTATGGAGTACGCCCCCCCCCCCCCCTCCCCTCATCTGGATAGGTGCTCCGCCCAGATACCTGCAACGCGTGGTTTCACGCGTACACGCGCCAGTTGTGAACACAGCTTAAAGGCCGATTCATACTTCATTTAGCACACGGGAAAGCCATCGCGCGATGACTTTCCCGTGCGCAAAATAGTTGAGCTCAGATCTACTTTTTCGCAACGTGAAATTAAGTATGAATCGGCCTTTACGCCTACATTCTCCTGCAGCGCAAATGGACAGCCTTCTGACCCAGAAGGCTCAGTAACTACGGATGCTGTTTGAGATTATGTCCATAGCACAACGTTTCCTCCTTCAAAGGTTCTTTTCCTGGCTCAAGCCTTGCGAATCGGTACGTTCATAATAATGCGAATGATTGGGTAAAGAACTAAATGCATATGTGTACACTATGCAAAGCAGAAGAACATAAAAAAATACCCAGAGCCTTGTTGAAAAGGAACGACCAATCTGAGTATATATTTTTTTACTCAAAGGCCATCTGGCTTCAACATTCTGGCTTCAACATTCAGGGCTTACTATAAAATAATTTTCACTGCTGTAAAATCCTCCTCTAAGGGCAGAAACTAAGTCTTCAACAAAAAAAGCTAAGAAAATTCTAGAGAATGAAACCCATTGTCATCGGAGCTGACTTTTTCGGCTTACATTCGAGAAAAAATGCTGAAAGCACAAGCTGTGGCTAATGATGCCCATAGCAAAGTGCTTGATATGTCATGTCGTCCCGCGCTTGCGGTGGTGACAGCGCCAAATGGACCTGTTGCACCTGGAGGCAGAAACAAGGAGCAACGTAGCATCAGGGGGTGCAGTGAGTACTAGCACATCCAAGTACACCGCAGTAAACGGCAATACACCATTCCTAGTACGGGAACGGGGAACAACCAGTAAAGTGCTGCTAACACCTTACCTCATTAACAGGATTCAAGAACACATGTTTTTTTGCTAAAAGACCATCGGAATGAAATTACTACAATGTTGCATTCCGATGGTCTTTTAGTTTTTTTCTACTGAGAACCAAAGTTTAGCTCTGAGTATTATACAGTTTTCGTGGAGACAGAAATGATCAATACACATACCTGTATACACCATACTACACCATAGCTCAGTGGTTAGAGCATCGCTGGCTACAAGCGAAGGTCCCTGGTTCCAGTCCTGGTGGTGACAGTCAATTTTTTTCTTCGGACTTTTCCCGTTTGTCTCTTTCCCTAAAACCAGTTAACACATACCTGTTTTTTTTATTAGTGGCTTTTGTTCTCACTTCTCATTGTTCGCACTGACACCTGTATCATTTATTTTCCCCTCACGGCACGCAAAATTTCGATTGGCGTGGCAAAACTTTAGCGAAACTACTCTTTTTGCTAAAATTAGCCGTTTGACAGTATGCCTTTATCGGAGACTGTGCTTTCAATCCCAACCAATATAATTATTAAGTCGCACTTTCCAGTGATACTGTGTGAAGTCTGGCATGGCTGTTTGCAGTGAGCAATTAGTTCAGCATTGAGTTCTGCATATGCAAAGAAAGAAACAGGTTTCTTACTACATTCTCTTCCTTCCTCTTCTTCTTCTTGTTTTAAAGTAGTCTTTGCTCACGTTTTTTTTGTACTGAGTGCGCAACTCACCCTATTCATTGTGTTAACGTTATATTTTTTTAATACATTTTTCACATTTTTCAATTGGTTGACACTCTCAGATAATTTAATCCAAATCAGCTCGTCCTCTTGGTCGCAGTACTTCTAAAATAGCTGTCTTTTCACCACCACCCCCTTTTTATATTCAATGAAGCATTTTTGATATTTAAGCGAAAACTGGTGTCGTTTCTTACCAGGAGCCACGGAAAAGGTCCCGGTCTGCTTACATCCGCCTGCATCTAGCGAGCACACCGCCAGGCGTACGGGGTTGCATGCAGTCGGGTCGCCGCAGCGAAAAGCGTAGCTGACCACAGTCGAAGAGTAGGTGGTGGAGTTGGAGTCCAGACATCGAGGCTCTCCGCAGCACTCACTGGGGAGTGATATACACCCTGCAAGAAGAATGGACGAGAACTTGAGCTTCACATGTCTATTTGTTCTACAACAAAAGACAATGTTTGATCGCTTTAGTGCGTCAAACTCAGAGTTAAACACTTTTTCAGTCCTGTTATTGCAAGAACAAAATGCATATCAAAAGCTGGAATGCAAAACCCACTATATCCAATATCATCACTTTTCGTATAGTGGGCAAAACTGAAAGGCTTCATTTCATGTGTGGTTTGTATCCAAATCCATATTTGGGTTCCAGGTTTGAAATGGTTCTAGTCAGATTTTGAATGTGGAACTTTGCCTGGCGGGTGCCTCTAGACATTTTGATTATGCTGAGCTGAAAATCTGATTTCCTCAAATTTGGTGCTTATCGGCATTTCTCATCTCTGGCTCTTCATATGCTAGAACGACCGTCTCTGTCTTCTAAACCATAGACAATGTACAGCTGTACTGATGAGGCCTTTATGGCCCAAACAGCTTGCTGTCTACAGCATTGGGTATCACGCTCCTCGGCTTTCGCCTTGTTGAGCACTCTCAGTAGGCTGCTCTAGTGCTGCTGCATCGCGCAATGCCCGCTACGTTTTGTAGTTTGAGCACTCTGGCGCTAGAGCGACGAGCTATCTTAATGTCTGTGGTGCCTCCTGTGCACCATGGCTGGTAGCTCGGCCTATTTAGCTCGTAGCTGTACTGATGAGGCATTTATGGCCGAAACAGCTTGCTGTCTACAGCATTGGACAATGTTCATGTATATATATAAAGTTGTTTGTCTACTAGTGGTTGGAAGAGACTGCCTTTGAATGACTGAACCATGGCATCATCTGAATGACACTGCTATCAGATTCCGTACATATAGCAACTCGGGTAGGAGCTGCCCGCCATAGAGAGGAAAAGACGACGAGGTGAACCTCTCTCTCAGCGCACACGAATTAATCTCGGTGTTCCGCCAAACCACTGCATAGAAGGAGCTTTATGGAGATACATATGTCTCAATGCACAGTCATTAGTACTAGGAAGCGATATACAGTCACAAAGGGACAAACTGTGAGTCAACAAATATTCAGCGCATGTTCATTTTCGGCCTGGTCATATTCGGCCGAAAATTGTTTCCAGCCGAAAATTGGTTCCAGCCGAAATTTTGTTTTGCAAGGTTCAATACAGTAGAGGTAGGTACAAGTATAGATTTTTTACTTTCTGACTGTATAATGTTTCCTAGTACTGATGACGACGCATTTAGCAATATTATATAATATTATTATTATTAAGCTGATAAGAAAGAAGAAGGACGAAGAAACTACAAGCTACGCTATACTGCTTGTAGTTCCTTGGTCCTTTTCTTTCTTATAAATTAACCCTTGGCTCTCCATCCCAGTCCACTCCTGCACATGATTATGCTTGTTCGCGTAGACATCACCAAGCAAGCTTGGTTAGTCTTCGCATAAGCCAAATGAACATTTAGCAGTATCTATCTCGATAGTGCGGTTTCTGTCTCCTAGAAGGAGTTGTTCTCATTCATTGGAACTTGGTAAGTCTGGCCATGTACAACCTGGTAAGGCACCCTGAGCATGCACCAAACAAGTCTTACTTGGCATGGGTTGCGGACTTGGAGTGGCCAGAGTGTGGCCGGACACAGCTGCAAGTATGGTACAACACACACGACAAAACCCAAGAAAATAGCAGATTTATGTCAACAGAGCCAGCTACAATGTGAAAGAGCGATAGTGATGAAACAAGAAGCCCTGGAGCAGACAGGTGGTGTGCAATGAAGGTGGCAGTTACTCTAACGCTACTCTACACAAAGGCACCGTTGAACTTGTCAGTAGCTTGTACTTCAAGAGCATACCCAGGCATGTAGCAGCCTCATTCTGGTTGGTCAGGCAAGATCCAGCCGCAATGAGTACCACCTCCAGACGAGGTGAGGAAACGATAAACTCCCAAACCCGTACAGTTTACTTTGCTGTCTTCACAAATGTTAGTCTCAAAAAAAGAAGAAAAAAAATAGAATGGGATATGGAGCTTGGGTTGGCTGTGAGTCAAATGTTAGTCTCCTCGGTGGAGGTCCAGATAACTGGCTGGATGGATCGGAATGATACCCAGTAAGCAACAAAGCACAAGATAAAACACCTACGGTGTGCTTGCAAACAATTTATTCTAGAGCTTACGTGTCTGTGCACCAGGAAATGTCACACCTGGGGCCAGCGAGTAAACACCGGATCCCACGCAGGTGGAGGTCATGGCGTTAAGGCTGCACATGGTGAAGTACAGGGGATCGCAAGTCGATGGGTCACCGCCGCAGGCTGTCTGGTATGCTTGCACGGTCTGGAGGAACGTCGGGGCCTGCGTGTCCAGGCACACCGGAGCGCCACAGCACTGCTTCGGATAGGTAATACATCCTGCCGTGTAAACAGGCACAGGCAATATCATTGAACATCAAAGTAGTCAACTGGATTTTGCGCCTGCATTGCATTTCATGGTTGCATTTTGCACACTGGGGGAGTGTGTGTTTCTTGCTCAACATGTACTGGCACACCGAGACACATACACTCGTACAGGTAGACTCCCTCTAATTCGAATACGGTATAATTCGAACATTCCGTGTAATTCGAACTTTTTCGTCGTACTGATCTTCTGCAAGTCACTTCAAGTCAAAATCGAATGCATAATTCGAAGTACGAAAAGTGCGCCGGTTGGATAATTCGAACCCAGTCTTCGTACAGAAGAGCTGTTTACAGTACATTGGCTATGTCCTTTGAACGCTTATTTCGAAGTGAGATTGAGTTGCTACCCCTGTAATTCGAAGTTCATTCTTTTCTCCTTCTCTAGCCAAGAGTAGCTCAAAAATCGATCGATGGTCCGCTGCAGGATCGACTATAGCGTTCAAGAAACCCACCTTCTCTCGAAATTTGATTCAAGCCCGTGCGAGGCAAATTGCAAAGGTTTGATTGAAGAGGACTTCTTCCTGGTGGCTGACTCTCTTCGCGGATCTCGATGGCCTTTCTTACCGCGCCAGCTCGTGCGCGGAGATGTTGGCGCACAACAACACTATTGTCGTAAATATTGTCTATGCCTTTGCTCCACTTCCGTTCTTCAGAACGACGTGCTGCTGTCCAACGGCCTTTCATGACGCCGATTGGGCAGCGCAGTTCTTTTCCGTTGAAATTGTTTCAGGAAAGCTGCAGTGACTGACAACTTCTTCACTAGAAGATGTCAAAATGG